ACACAAATTTTGATAGCTTCTCCTGTTGTTGGCAGCCTCTCCAGTGCTGTCGACTTGCTGATAGCCTTTTGGGTAGTTTTGGTTGGTAAATCTGAGATGTGTGGTCTGATGATGTCTTCTTGTGTTTTGTGTGGCCAAGATAAAATCGGAAAGATGATGCTTCTTCTAACTTAGGCTTTAGGTTTTTTTTTTGGTCACAAATAAGGCTTTAGTTTTAAATACCTTTCCATACCTGCTTGTTGCTCTTTTGACCAGTTCTATAGCCTTTTGGGTTTAAGGTTCATGTAAGTCACTTGGTCAATCCTTAATTCAATCTGTTGGAGTAATTAATCTAATTCTTTTATAAATAGCTAATCTAAATAAATACATGAAATATTCAAATTTTCTATTGTTTTTATCTCAATTTTTTGAAAAATACTAATGATATACGTTCAATTGTAAAGCTTAGATCGTGACAATAATATAATGAACTTTCTTATAAGTAGTTTTAAATCCATTTATTTAAATTTTAAAAAAAGTAATTTATTCTTTTTGAAATTTTTATACCAAGTAAATGTTATTTTTTATTTAAAGACTACTCTAAGTAATTTCTGAAATCAATTTCAATCGATAAACACCGCGGTGATTTTAAATACTCTTTAGCTATCATATTGCTATCCATTTTTAAATGTCAACATAAAATAAAAAATAGTTAATCAACAAATAGTGCTGATCAGTGCACAAGAATAAATGCTCTCCTATATATGATATGTTATGTTAAAATTGTGTTAATCTGTCTTAACATATTAAGTAATGCATATTTCATGTTTATTTGAAGAGGGATAGACATGAGATCTAAGCAGAACCAAATTATGTTAAAATTTGTCACATTAGAATCCATTTCTGAAACTCATAATTATTAATATAATCATTGTAGACAAGATGTTATTTTATTGTTTTTTTTTAATTGGCTCATTTTTTTTCTAATTACTTAACTATGTAACATCTTAATCTTTATACACATAAAAGTAGTTGAATGCAGGGTTATAGCTGCATGTTAGAATTTGTCACGTGAGGATCCGTTTCTAAAACTAATATAATTATTGTAGATATAATCTACCTTATTCAGCTTGAAACTCTCAGCATAACTCCTAGCTTTTGTGTAGTTGGAAAATTGACATTTATACAAGTTTAGAAACACAAATTTCTGAAAAATTGTGACTAGATTTGGAATAGTATATAACACCATGCCAAAGAAATTGGGTTTAGATTGAGCTTGCCTTGTCAAATTTACTTTTTTCCAGAATAATACAACTTCATGGATCTTCAAGATTGCTCAGGATAAGGAACACATAAACATTGTGGTGGCTATGAAATGGAGGAACGATGGTTTTTGAACTTCAAATGGAGCCATCAATATATTCTCACAAACATTTCAACTTCCCCGAATTTATGATTTTTTTGTTCGGGTATATGAAACAAGATGGTCAAATAATTCAACACATACAAGCCTGCAAAGGGGAAGTGGGAACCTCCTCCCATAGAGTATGTTAATTGTCAAAAGAGTTTGAGCATTGTCGCTTGTAGAGGTGTGTAAGCCCCCTATCTAAGTATAGAAAGAAACCGACTAGAATAACAAAAGAATAGTTTTATTTACTTTTTGTAAGGGAATTTCAACAATACAAGAAAAAATTTATAGAATCTTTATAGTCAATAGTGGAAAAGAAAAGAAAAGAAACTATCTCTTGCGAGATTCTCTAAGAAGAAAGAACAACAAGACTTAATAACCCCTTACTGACTTAGATCTTTTCTATTTATACCCTTCACTAAAGATCTCTCAACCTCACATTCTGTAACTGTTTCCTCTTGCTTCTTCGCTCCAATCCTACAGTTGCGTTAGAAGCCACATGACCAGAATGTTCCACCAATTGTTTTGAGTCTTCCGCGTGTCCAGCTGATAGCTCACATGTTCCCTACTATTGACTTAGCTCTCTTTCATCTGAACTCATAACAATACAATATAAGGCCCCCTTGATTTGAGTATCGAAAGAAACCGAGTAGAATAATAAAAGAATCGTTTTATTTACTTTTTGTAAGGAAATTTCAACAATACAAGAAGAAATCTATGGAATCTTCATAGCCAACAATGGGAAGGAAAAGAAAAGAAACTATCTCTTGCGAGATCTTCTAAGAAGAAAGAACAACAAGATTCAACAACCCTTTACTAACTTAGATCTTTTCTATTTATACCCTTCACTGAAGATCTCTCAATCTCACATTCTGTAACCGTTTCCTTTTACTTCTTCGCTTCAATCCTGCAATAACGTTAGAAGCCATGTGACTAGAATGTTCCACCACCTGTTCTGAGTCTTCCGCGTGTTCAGCTGATAGCTCACGTGTTCCCTCATGCTGACTCAACTCTCTTTCATCTAGACTCATAATAAGATGTGATTCAAGATCACAATGAAACTTGTTTTGTTGGTTTCTCTTCTTATTATAACTACAAATGAATGTTGTAAAATGGTGGCTGGGTCCAAGGTTATTCCCACATAAATTTTCAAATTAGATTGTATTAGAATGCTAACTATCACAGTGGAATCAGCTTCCACGTACGTGAGTCTAAATCACCAGTACAGAAAATTTGCAATCTTCTCAATAAGTTTTCCTGTGCTATTATTTTGCCTATAGTTGTTTGGGGAAATTAATTCTATTATAAATAGACTAACAATAATTGGGCTGTGGAGCAAGAACCAGCTAAGATACTGGGATTCTTGTTTATGATTTACTCATGAGATGAAATGGTTGCACTCGGTAACACATTTTCTTAATACATTTTTGTTTGTTGACTTAATTTTACTGAAAACTAATAATAGATATTTTTGTTATGATAATAATTTCTTAATCATGTAATATTCTTAGCTTCATTTCCGTACATATAAAAACAATGGAGTTTAGACTTAGTTGCTTTATAAATATTTTAATAAATTCGTTATTTATTTTCTATTTATTAACTTATTAGTTTAATTTATTTATGCTTCGATTTCTTTAGTCATGTTAGCAACTCAAGATAGCATTTATGTTCGTATAATTATTTGAGTTGTTATGAATTATTTTCATATCATAAATACTTATCTAACTCCATTCCATATTACGTAACTCTTGTAATCGCTTCATTATCATGCCTGTTTCTACACTTGCTCAGTCACAAATCACATATTACATAAACATGATAATCATAATTAACATGCAAATATGATTTGTTTTATATTAGGTATTGACGTGAATTTATATTCTTACTTAAATAATTTTAGAAAGCACAATTCATTCAATAGAATTTATTTTTTATATAAATATTGTTATTCAAATCTTAATAAATTCCATACATCGCATTCAAACAAGATATCTATATTGAACTGAATTTTAAAATAAAATAAAATATCCTTTTGCCTTTCTAAATTGAAATGTATCTAAACAAATTTATAAACATCCATAATTTACTGTATCACATAAATGAAAAATATTTTCCCCTGTTTAGTATATTTTTAAGATTAAAAATCATAATAAAAATAGAATGATCTACATATACAAACAAATGAACCTTGTATCGTTGCATTAACCCTTTGAATTTGCCTTTCTTTTATCCTATTTTTCAATTTTCTCCCCAAAAATTCTTGATAATACCCTTTTCCTTTTGAAAAGATGTATTATTTTGGTCTAAATTCAATTTTCAATCAAATGCGATTTTTACAACTTTTCAAATATAGATATTAAAATATTAAATTCTTGACAATGCTTTTTGTCCTTTTAAATGAGATGTAATATTATTTTTACTTCTTAAAATATTAAATTTATCAATGACTAAGTTAAACAAATCCTTCACTTCTTTATGCATGTTTAGATTTGTGTTTACATTACTTAAACTCACGCTCACTCAACACACTAATAGTAGCAGTGATCTTTTCTTTTTCATTCAATATTTTTAAAGAATTCTAGTTTTCGCAACTTAATCTCTAATCTTTTGATCTTACTCCTCCAATCGCTCTCAAAAAATTATTATATATTCTATTTTTTCAAAATGTATTAAGATATTGACTTTAGTAATAACTAGTTAAATTAATCATCCTTTTGCCTTTTCCTTTGACCCCTTCACTATTTTTAAAACTTATAACAATCTAACCTCTTTTTTTCTTAACTCTTTTATCTTTCACTTCAACTCCTCTCAAAAAATCACTTAAGTGACAATACTTATTTATGTTAAATATTTTAAATTACTACAATATAAACTTATTTTTCAACTAATATATTTCCTTATAATACTTCTCAAATACACACATATATATATTCTCAAATAATTAAATCCTAAATTTCGTCGTGAATCTTTATTGCTCCCAGCCGTATTTGGTCCCCATACGTAAGTTCTAGGAGGCGAATTAAGTTTTTTTATTTTTATAATTGAATTAAGGGTTTTAATTTTACAATAATTTGTAACCTCGCTTATATATAATTTTTTTATTCAAATTATATTATATAATATAATATAAAAGTTTAATATGAATATATTATAATATAAATTGTTTATACTATTAATTAATTAAAATATATTATTGAAATAACATTTTAAATTAAATGTTAATATTAAAATTTTCACATTATCGATGTTAAAATATTTATTATTGCATCCTTATATCTATCACTATTTTAATTTTAAAAAATAAGTAGAATGTTATATAATTTTAAGAAAAATATATTTTTAACTAAAAAGTATATAAAAAGAGTAATAATAAATATATGAATATGAAAATAGACAGATTCTACCAATATATTTAAATAAATTCATAATTTAATATATTAATATTATTAAATATTTTAATTTATAATAAATTCATCATTTATTATATTTAATGCTTCATAGGTTAAAAAAAAAAGATTTTATAATCCCGAACCGTTGTGATTATCCGAAAACCCTCCTCAGTCCTCATATACAATATACAATATAAAAGAAAGAAATGTATTTGGACAGTGGAATTAAGATTTAGAAGAGAGAGAGAGAGAGAGAGAAAGAGGGGCGCAAGATTTACAAATACACCAATTCCCTTCAAATCTTTCAGATTCAGGTTGTAATCAGCGGTGGCGAACGGCAATGCCCATGGCCACGCCGGAACCCTCCACCGACCACATCGACTCTCTTCCGCTAATTGACCTTCGCCTTCTCTCTCAATCCGAACTCTACTCTCTCTCCCTTTCTGGCGCCACTCACCGTCACCGCCGCAACGACAACGATTCCGTTATCCCCAAAATCGACCGTTCCGTTTTCAACGAATCCGCCGGAAGTCGCAAGCAAACCTTCTCTCGCCTACGCCTCAACAAACAAAACGTCGCCGTTCCCGCGTCCTCCTTCCACATTCCCCTCCACATTCCCGAGCCCGTCGACGAAGAGAATTCCCAAATTATCGCTCTGCTGCAAGAACTCTTCGGCGTCGAGTCCCTTCGCAACGCTCAGCACCATGATGGCGACGACCGTGGCCTCGTTCCCGTTCAGGTTGAATTTAAACAACCGCCTCCGGAATCGCCGGCCTTCCAGAACATTCCGATCGACGTCGTCGACGGTGGTCAGAGGAAGAGGAAGCGCGGGCGGCCGCGGAAGAACGAGAATTTGGAGGAGGAGGAGCCGAGGAACGTTAACGTTAACGGCGAGGGGAAAGCGGTGGCAATGCTGAACGATAAGGGTTTTGTGGTTGACGCCGTTCGGTTGGCGGATTCTGGGGATCCGTTTGGGGAGGAGTTGAAGAGAAGGACCGAAGGGTTGGAGACGGAGTCTCAGTTGTTGGAATTTTTAGAAACTTTGAATGGAGAATGGGGGAGTCAGAGGAAGAAGAGAAGGATTGTGCAGGCTAGTGATCTCGGTGACTTGCTGCCTGCGGGATGGAGGATCGTGCTCTGTGTTCTGAGGAGAGCAGGTCGTGCTTCTGTTGTTTGTCGCCGTTACGTAAGGTTTTCTCTTTACTCCTTTCTGTATAATCTCTAATGCATGCAGCTATCCTTTAATTGGTACTTCGATTTCAAGTTTAAATGGATGGATACTTTGAAAAACGCCTTGGTTTTCTGGGTTTTTATTTTTATTTTATTTTGTGTGTGCGTGCGCAATGCTTCTGTGTTTCAAGGATTGGGGGTGGGGGAGAACTGGGTTTGCTACATTTGAGTTCTGGTGTTTCTACTTGAGTGGTTGCTGTCATTGCTCTCAAACTCAGATGCGAACACCTTTAAAATTTGGCTAGGTTTGTAAATGAAAGATGGTATAGATATAATTTCTGATTTTTGTCATGGTTGTTGAATTTAGGCTTTAAGTATAACACTTAATCCAAAAAAGCTAGCTCGTAAGATGAGAATTTTGTTATAGCTTTTATAAGATATTATTTAGCCATATGAGAATTTTGTTATAGCTTTTATAAGATATTATTTAGCCATATCTATTGTCGATGTGAGTTTTCAACATGCTCTCTAACGTTCAAGATTAGACATCTATAGTGTGTGTGGAAATTGTACACTCTCTAATGTTCAAGATTGAACATCTAGAGTGTGGAAATTTTAGGGTTTTCTTTTTTAATATAGCACTTGATCAAAATGTTCAAGATTGGACATTTAAAGTATTGAAATTGTAGGGTTTTCTTTTTTAATATAGCACTAGATAAGTCACGTGACCAGGTAGGTAGCATTTGGAAAGCTACGAGACTAGGTAGGTGGCTTTGGGGAATCCACATGGCCAATGAACAATAACATTCAAGATTGGTCATCTAGAGTGTGGAAATTGTAGGGTTTTCTTTTTTGATATAGCACTAGATAAGTCACGTGACCAGGTAGGTAGCATTTGGAAAGCTACAAGACTAGGTGGGTAGCTTTGGGGAATCCACTTGACCAGGCTAATTGCACTAGAAAAATTGATGGGGTTATACATATTTTTCTTTAAGTCAAGGGTGGCATAATATTGGATCTACGATAGATTCTAATACCATGTTAAATTTGAGTTTTAAGCTTAATTCAACTCCAAAAGCTAACTCGTAAAGTGAGAAATGCTTTAACCTTTATAAGCTCTTATTTAGCATATTTATAGTCGATGTGGTACTTCAAAAGTTGTCATAGGATTCAAATCGCCAAATCCGGCTTATTTTCTGAATTGTATAAATTGCAAATTAGGAGATTTATGATCAATAATTAAAATACCATAAAATCTTAAAATAGAAAAAACATTTAAAACATGTACATAGTTGCATTTTAAAGTCAGACTAGTTAGTTAAGTTGTGGGACTGGGGACATGAATTATAAGTGCTGGGGTTTGATCTTCCGCAATGTGCTCTGCCCCTTTTCCCCTTATCCCCTTATCTCCTCTCCTACCCCTTGTAAGACCTGACACGAACCTCTCCTTGGACCTAAAACAAGTCAAATAGCCCACAGTATAACTAACAGATTGAAATATAACCTTGGCCTAATTGCAAAATTTAAAGGGCTTTACAAAAGGTGAGATTAGGCTGAACACAGCAGAATAGTGGAGTGTCATTGGGAGTGGGTGAGTGCGTAGCAGCTGCAGAACCAAGAGTAGCAGGCAGCAGATTCCAAGGGATTTTGTGTGTTTTAGGATTCTGGTGTGCTGTCAAGACTCAAGATTGATTTTGGGGTCAAAATGCATTTTGAACCAATTAGGTAAACAAAAGGGTCACAGGTTTAGGGTTCAAAAATCAGTTCTTGAGGCACAAATTCCCATCTGATCATCACCATTTTTTTCTGATTGTATTGATTTAGGAATATTTACTATCACTTAAATGCTCCTCTTGAAATTCATTGAGTTTGTGTGTTAATTGAATGCATGATAGAAGACAAAGTTTAGTTGTAATTTATATTCAGTGAGAGTGGAGCCTACATTGAGTAAAGGTTCTTTGTTTCCTTGCTTAGTTGTTTTCTTTGCCACCACAATAGTACCACATCGGGTTATTTAGGGAACACAAACAAAGTGCTTTGCTTATGAAACAAACTGCTTTTCAATCAAGCAACCTATATCCATCCCTATGGTGTCTTGTCATGTTAATGAGACAGCATAGACAATGAATGGGACACAATGGACAATTAGGATCAGTTAAATTTAGTTGGACTAAACTTGGTTGGTTCAGGAAAAATGGCTGGGTTATTAAGTTGTACAAAACTTGGATGGATTAAACTAGTTTTTACCAGTTTTGCATGCATGCCCTATCTAAATGGTAACTGGGACTAAACTGATCAGTTGGAAAGCTTAATAACTTTTGCAACTAACAATGATTGAGCGTGAATTGGAAATATGTTGGTTTTCTTGTTTCTTATGGGCTACACAAAACCTTATTTTATTTTTAGAAAAGGAAGTTTAATTGAGATTGAAAGAAATAAAATAAAAGGTGGCCTAGTGCATGTGGTGGTACTCCCACCTTGTGGAGTCTAGGGAGCTCCCAACTTGAACTGGATGTATACATTCTTACCGTGTTAAGTGTAGAGGTACTTTTTATGATTTGAACCTAAGAGTCATGACCTTTAGGTCACAAGGAAGTAATATTATTGTTGTGCCAAGACACCCCAATTGAAACAAATAACATAAAAAATAAATAAATTAAGGGATCTAAAGTAATGTTGTAACAATCAAGGGATCTTGATTGGAAAACAAAGAAGCCCTGACTAGTGCAAATTTTTGCACAGTTTAAAGCAATTTTAAGTAGAAACTAGTGCTTTCTGATTTTCTGATCCTGTTTGCTGGTAACTAAATTTAATTTCATAGCAAGTACTATTATTATGAATTCATAAGCTGCACTAAGCTTAGTCTCTACTCTCTAAGTTATGGCCTCAAAACTAGGGGGTTATTTCTCACTTTGGCATTGGTCAGATGGCTTATATATTTGATGTTTTTTCTCTTGGTGGGGCTAGGTGAAAGGGGGAAGGGATTTTTCTTTAATTTGCTGTATAATTCAATGGTATTTTTTATTGGCTTATGGCAAGGTTTCTAGAAGCTGCTAAAAGAGTAAGATTTGCCGTGTTTAATTTTTGCAGCTATTTGGTCTCCTTAGAAATGCCTTTATTTTTAAAATGAATATTTTACTTGAGTCTTATGGATATAGTTGTTTTCTTGAATGGTGTTCAAATCAACCTGTTTAAACTTTAAACAAACCACACAAAAAACCAAACCATATTCCATCTTAATAAAAGCTAAATTCTTACTACTAGTTGTTGAACCCAGCTGGTTGTTCCTTTTTTTAAAATACAATTCACTTCCTAAACTGCAGAAACTAGTTTAGAATCCGAAGTACCGGGGACTGTTTGTCTGTCTGCAGTTTTAAAATGTGTACAAGGATTGGGACCTTTCTATGTATTGATGTATTTGTTGCTTTCTTTTATTCTTTGTTATTGGCCTTCAAAGGATGTTTCTTCAGTATCTGTAATGTATTTAATCCAATATAATTTTGTCATTTATTACAAAAGGATGATTGAAGATATTACTTGTTCAGTGACAATATGATTATATTTTCCTTATCTCCTGTGCTTTGTCCATCTCCATCATTTTAAGAATAATTGAATGAGATATAAAAACTAGAGAACATTTAGAATAGTGGGAGACAGACATCTAAACTTAAAGCGTTCTAATTTCTTCTGTAATTTATTTCCTTTTTTTTTTTCCATTTGAAAAGTTGCATGTCATAGCAGTTAAATATACGTTATAATGGCTACAAAAGAGGACATAAATTTGTGTTTGCCACATTTTTTAGGGTGAGGGGTGGGTTGAATAATTCATAATGGGGTGGGGGTTGGCATCTTTAGTCCTGGATCTTGTTCTGGCTCCTTCCTGCTGCGTAGAGTTTTCTGTGGCCTCAGTGCGGCTGTGTGCTTTGATAATTCAGTTTTTAAATTAAAAATGCTTTATTAACCATTTTAGCATCATTGGTTCCCTTTTTATTTTAGCATTCATGATTCCCTTTCAGAATACCTTCTTAAATCATCCATAGTTACCCCTTATTATGCGAAGTTCGTATACTATTTCTCATGATAGGTAATGAACCACAAAATTTCTTACATATTTTGATTTCCAAGGTTTCCAAGTTACGATGTGGATATGAATTTGATATACTTCTAGATCTCAGCCTGCTTACAATCTCTGAATTATATGGACTGCAATGTTCTGGCATTTCAGTTTTCCATTCGTGCAGATATTGTAATTCTCTTAAACTTCTAGTATTCCCCAATTATCTTAGTAATATTTAGAATAATATCCATTTTTTTCATATCACACAAATACATCCTTCATCAATTCACCCGTTGGAATTAATTTTATTTATTTATCCACTGAAACATCAAATCCCCAACAATCCCGTCCTTCCATTCATTTCACCATAATTCTGTTTACAGGAAAAGCCAATATGGTTCCATTTCACCAAAAAAATGCAGCATTTTTTTTTTGTTAAAACAGTTGTAATGAAATAGATGGAGGGATAAAAGCATTGGGGATTTGAAGTTCAAGGTTCAATTGATGATATTAATCTGCCAGGAAAGCAACTGTTTAAGCATTTACTCTTTATCTACGACTCATGAGGGACAAGGATATTTAGTTTGTGGCAGCTTTAACCTAAATTCTATTTGACAGTTTATGCATATATTGACTATTGCTTTCTTGAGGTTGTAACCATTATTTATGTTGGATTCTTATGCAATTGCCCTAATTTGATTCCATCCAGCCCTGATGGACACCAGTTTGAGTCATGCAAGGAAGTTTCTGCATACTTGCTTTCCTTTTTCGGTGTTCAAGATATAAGCTGTCTAAAATCTAGTTATACTGATGGTAGTCAGCAGTTGTCCAGCAGTATCAATTTGGCATCTGAAAGTGTAAGCTAATATTTATGATGTTTTATTTCTTTTTTCTATTCCAAAAACAAAAAGAACATTTTTCATTTTTTCTCAAAAAATTGCAGCAGAGTGTAAGTCATGTGCCAACAGGAGATATGAAGACTAATGCCAATGCAAGTTATTTGTGTTTAGTTGGTGCATCTATGCACTCTAATCATGAGAAGCAGACCCCCATATCATCATCAATTGAAAGTGAAAATTTCAGTGGTGATCTGGCCTTGGCTTGTAAATTAGGAGATACTACTGTTGGAGCCATTGACCATCAAACTGAAGATAAGAAACTATTTAAGGCTGATAAGAACGACGGAAATTCAGTTCAGGGATGTTCTCTCATGGAAGATAGAGGTTGTAATGTGAGTGGTGAGAAGTTGGTTGGTGCTAGTGAAGCTAGCAATGCTGCATGCAATCTATATATTCCTTTGGTTTTCTCAACTCCTTTCTCCAATGATAATAACAGTGGTCAATTTTCTGATGAAGTAAATGCTGTCACATGCATAAAAGGCAGCATTAGTAATTTTGCTAGTCAGGATAGAAATAGTGGGTGCAATGAAACTGTTACCTGTGGAAACCAGCAAAAACATGTTGACAACAATGAGTTTGGGCTTTCTGTGAAATTAGTTGGGAACGTTCAGAAAACAGGTTTTGAAAGCAGCATGCTGGCTCCAAATTCTGAAGGCAAAAATTTTGCTGGTAAAAATTTAGAGGATGGGCATCTTACTTGCTCCTTGGAGGACATGGAGGTTAGAGATGAAAAGACCATTAAGGATGATGAGCAGAAAACTATTGGTAGCAAAGACCAGCCTGAAGTTAAAAATGTATCTACTGATGTTAAGCTGCAGACTAGTTCTGAAGGTTGTTCACTTGTCCCATCTCAGAATGAACTTAAGCATACTTCTATAAATAGTATGAACAGGACACAAACTTCCATGCTGAAGGACTCTGCTGAGGAGAATATTTTTGATAGTGATTTATTTAGCTCATCTATTGATGAGAGAACATATGTTCACAGTAATTACATTGGTAATGTTTCTTTTAGCTCTTGCACACAAGATGCATCTGAGTCTGGTGGAGTTCATTTTGTTTCTGATCTTAAAGTAACTGAGGATGTCAGTTACAATCAGATTCCTGCAAATGAGGAAGCTGCGACTAGTTGTTTAGAGGAAAGGAGTTCCTTGAATGATGAAAATTACTCCATGGACAATCTGTTCCACAGAAGTTCTGAAAGTAACTTATATGCTCTAACTGGCAATCAGCATGTTTCTGCTTTTCATGATAATTTGAATAATATTTCTTCTGGAACCTTTGATGCACTCAAAGCTGTTGATGCTGGTTACATAACGCCCCAGTTAGGCACTGTTTCTTGTGGCAATGTTGTTGCTGAGGATGCATACACTACTGCAAGCATTATGCAGGGAAAATCCCAAGGATGTGTATCTGTTGCTCTTGGCGAAAGTATATTAACCCAATTTGACAAGCAAAGCGATGATGGTGTTAATAAAGCTAATAAATCTTGCTTACCAGGGAAGGTTAAGAATGAAGTTGAAATTTCCCAAACTGACTCTATAGGTCTGCCCAAATTGCAGTAGCAGTCAGATAGATTCAGAGGCAGATATGATGACCCATGCTGTGAATCAATTTCTAAATAAAACATGGATGGTAGTTCTGCAGACTATGCTGGTAACCATAAGCCTCTGCTTGTATATTCTCAATTTCCTATCGAGAATGATAGCCTAGAAAAGGTAATGATTATATTTATAGTATGATAAAACTTTATTTTCTGCAGAAGACTGATTTGTTTCTAGAGATCCATTTATGCCTCTGTAGTCAAAGTGATTTTGAAATTCTTTATGAAATGAAAATATGGAAGTTATTTTCAAAATCTAAATACTTGGAAAATTAGTCTGAAAGTAGCTGGTCATTATGGAACATACCCTTTTCCATGACTAGCTCTATAAAGTGTTCCTATGAAATATTAGAGAAAAAATATTGGGGCATGGATGGATTTTGTGTAGTTAAAAGGAAACGATTGATTAAGGTTGTTTCATGAGTTAATATCCTAGTGCTTACGAATTATTTCCTTAACATACTTTTGCTTTTTTCATCTTGTTAATTTTTTTTTTTTTTGGAAATTGGAATATAAATGAAGTCACCTAGGATGTCATTGGGTATTTGAGTGTGTGTTATGATCAAGCAGGAATTGAAACTTGTCATCGGATTCCTGTAGTAATTCAATGGGTGGTCAACCAATCAAGAATTAGTCTTAATCCAAAGTAGCCAAGGTTGAATAAATGGTGTTCGTAGGCAATTCTGTTTTGAATAACGTTCTGCCCATGCCTAACAAGTAACAATAGCTACTTTTTGGGGGCTGTAAGTGTGTTAGAATTTCATTTTCTGTGTAGAAATAGTCATACTTGTAGGATTAGACACCAAAATTAACACTGTACTAATCAATGGTTTCAAAGTTTTGGGGCCTCTGCATTCTGAACATAGAAATGCCATGTTCTAAGCAATTGCAAGAATGAGTATCAATTATAAATAATATAATTATACTTATCATGTTATGGTACTTTTTGTTGCTTTTAGATATAGGTGCAGGCATGTTGCTTTGATCAGTTTCTTAGAAGCCTCTCATTTTTATTGTGAGAATAGTGAAACCAGTTAAGCCAAAAATTGGATTTTACTATCCCCTAGTTTCTATGTGAACGGGATTAACATGTTAGAATATTGTGTTGAAATGGCTGTGGAAAAGTCATAAATATATTTGTATATATTATCCCAATTCGAAGACGACTATACTTATGAAACTTAATCTGAGTTTTGTCTTGTTCTTCTGTGAAATGCTACGCAAGGAACTATATTGTAAATTTATTGTTCTCTGGCTGCAAGCTTTACTTCTGCAGCTGATGATTTTCTTCAGTTTTGATGACTGATTTTGCTTTTATTTTGGGACAAAACAGATAATTGCTTGAAGGCGCATTATTTTGTTGATAGATTTAGCAGGTCAAACTGGTGGCTTCTACATTGCAAAGTTTATTTTGGGGGTCCTTGATAGAGCAGATGCCATTTTTATTTTGAAAGGAAAACAATTTCCTTTTAGGTTCATTTTAGCTCAAAACATGTTTTTTTTTTTTTTTTCAACTGGTAGACTGGTATACTGACATTGAATTTCAGGTAGGTCCTTCAAATGAAGAAGGAACTAGTTTTCCCCTATTTTTGAAAGAGAAATTCCAAATTAACTGTTGATCTCTTCGTCTTTCACATGACTACTACCCTTTGCATAATTTTTATTGATGGGCTCTCTATCCGATGCATACTGCCTGGTTTATATTTTACTTTTTCACCTCATTCCGGATGGTTTTTAGATTTTTGTCATGATTGCCCGTGAGTTTTTGCATTTGAACTTCATTTATAAAATGGGGCCTGCTCAACTATTTTGTGGCTGTGTATAACACGGGAATTGAAAAAAAAGTCCGTGATGGACAAGTGAGTTTACTAAGGTCCACTGGATACATTAGGTGAAAGGTAATGGTGTCGAAGATGCCGGTTCCACGAACACGTGAAGGTGAGAGGGTGCAAAGGCACTCCGAAGCCCGAGACTGTCTTCATGCAAAGTGATAGTATGTGAAAAGAGACCTGGCAATACAAAAGGTGCCCTATTTACAGGGTTTGGATGACGGTGAATCATGGTGTTCGACATTTGAATGCAGCCACGAGGTAATTTAGCATAGATTGAGTCTAGTAACTGTTCAGTATTCTGGAAGTTTTGATATGGGAGGTGTGGATTCTTTTGCTTCTGGGCGTAAGAAGTATTGTAGAGTGCAGGTTGAGTGATTTGTTGAGCCATGGATGGCTCTTTATCCCAATTGAAGAATTTGGGCTATCAATGCTGTACCGAGCTAGAATTTGTTGGATTGTTAGTTTTGTACATTTAGAACTTCTTCCATTTGAATATAATATAAACGAATAGGAGGATAAGATGGATGACGTGCTAATTGAATGATTGGTGACGTTACCAATTATTCATGTTGCAAATAAATCTCCCAAATAAACAGACAAACTAGGATGAATTTGTAAGAATTGTAATTGGTAGTCATAGAAGCTAAAAACCTGTTCAGTGGAACAATGATGATTTTATTCCACGTTTTAAATTCAATAATCCAATATAGAAAAATGGTAAGGTTCAAACTAGTCGATATCAAAAGCATATTGAAGTGAATCTACCTTTTTTTCAATAAGCAATGTTGACATGGAAAAATGTTGCTTGCCACAATCTTTATCCCCTTCTATTATGTGGATGCCTTTATCCTCACTCTTAAGGATCTAAATTTGCGTATCAATGGTTGTGTTTCCTAGCTTCTTGTCATTGAGATTAATTTCTCTAATGTTGACATTGCCTAGGGCAAAATAAATGTTCCAAATGTGTCACTTGGTTTGCCTGCAAATAAGCTTTTGCCACACTTCCCACTTTGTGGAGAGTTCAAGCAATGGTTGTTAGGGTTTAGCAAGCAGGAATTCATGGGACAAATTTTTACTTCACCAAAAAAATAAAAAAGAGAAGCTGACAATTGCAAATGGGAAGTATAGAGTTGGCTCCATTGGCTTTGATGTCCTAGCATTATGCAAGGCATTATCTTAAAGCAATGTAGGTACTATGTCCGTCTTTATTGAGAATATATCGCTCTAATGCGCTATGGCTTGGAAGTTGCAAGGTTATTTTTAGGAGTAGGCCTTATTTGGGTTTTGGAAATGGGGGAATGATGGAGAAATTGAAACCCATATGAGGAAGGGTGGAGGAAGGGATGAAATAAACAATTATGTAGTTGAAAGAAATTCAACAGAAAATGTTTAAGTTAATAACATGTACATGATGGACCAAATTTAAACATTCCCCATGGTAAATTGAGCAATATTTTATTCCATTAAAAATATGGAAGGGGTCATGGGAAGAATATAAATGTTCTTTGAACATTTTCCTGCGAGGTATGATTCTTTTTTTCTTTTTTTAGCTTTGAGAGCTTCAAACTTTAGAGATACCATCATGCCTTTAATAACATCTAGCTTAAAACATTTAATCTCATTGAAGGTTTGATTATTTGAAACGCTAACAAACTTTTAATCTTGGGAGAAAAATTCTTCTTTTGCAGATAGTGTCTAGATTTTATGCAATTTCTCAGCCGAATAGTGTGTTTCCAAATATATTATTTTATTCTTTCTATGCACAGAAAATTATTTAATACTACTACGAATTGACTAGGCGCAGAAATTTTAAACAACATTGTTGGATAGTACAAAATTGTTTGTAATACATTGAATAATATAGCGGTGATTTCTATTAAAGTTCAGCTCTTTTTTATTTTATTTTATTTTTTATAAACAAAGGGGCTTAAAAGCCCGAAACAAACAATAACCTAGGCAAGCATTCTAGGAAAATCCTGGGAACAATAATCTAAAGAAAGAAAATGCAAAAGAGAGGGAGAGGGCACCTCAAACTAAGACAGGGGGCCTAGAGAAACTAATCCTAGCTTAGCAAGAAAATTAGCACAAATGTTGACTTCTCTACGAATATGAGTAAATTTAACAAAATTAATAGATTTTAGAGCATTTCTAATATTACAAATCAAAGGAAAGAGTGGATGAGAAGGAGGTTGAACATTTAAAACAAGATTAATAGCCTGTTTTGAATCATTCTTAATCCAAAGAACCTGAATTTTTATAGAAATTGCTAATTGAATACCCAGGAAAATACTCCAAAGTTCAGTAGTTAGAGGGGAACAAGGAGCCAGGCTGCTGCAAAAGTTCATTCTAAATTTTCCATAACAGTTCATTAATCTTGTTTTGTTTTTATTTTTATTTTTTGTCGAAATGGGTTGCTTCCCAGTTATTGTGAGGCAGAAGACTAGAACAAAATTCTTGTTAAGAATTTTTTTTAAAAAATTTCTCACTTAGTGAATTTCAACTTTGAATAATTGAATTCGTGAATTTATGGATTGGGTTCACATCATTTTCTTTACACCTATGGTCCCTGGTATCCTCTATTCTTCTTTAAATACGCGGGCGCACATTTATAAAAGGGCTTGCTATTTTAGATAGGTTGCTAATAAATTCGCTAATCATTTCAAACTAATTTGTTAACAATTTGAATTCATTAAATCCTTTTAAACATCAGAATCATTCTATATTTCAAATCCACGTAAATCTTTAATTGTTTGAATAAATTTTAAAAAATTGATTATTTAAAGTAAAACGAAATTGATAAGAGAAATAAAATTGTTTAATTCTGAAAGTAAGAATACTTGATTTGTTTTTAAAAAATTGAAGAGTAAAAAATGCACATAACATAGTTTGAAATAGAAAAATTAAAAGTATAGCTTATAATTTATAAATTATATTGAATGGATTATCATTCTTTAGATTTTATTTGATTCCGTCAAATCTCTCGCTCGCTATATATTACACCTATAATTTACTTTAATCGAAAGCCAAAAAATATATATTTTCTTTAATGCTTTCCTTGAAAGAGACACGCTAAATGTAAGAGTTATATTTTATAACTAAATAAAAGAAATAAATATTAATTATTAAATTTTATTATACATAAGCGAAATTAAGATACAAAAATAATAAATATTATCACAGTATAAATATGTAAAGTAACTGTCATTTTAAGAAAAAATAATGTAGAAGTAATAAAAATAATTAATGGAGGAGAGAATAAAGAAAAGAGAAGTCAAAGAGTGAAAACCAACGAAAGTGCGTGTACTATTGAACAGAAGGAGGAGGGAAGGGTCTTATCTGAGTGTGATGCTTAATACCAAATGCGAAATGCGAAATGCGAAATGCAAAATGCAAAATGCCATTGCCACCACCGATCACACTCACACCCACCAACTGATACCCATCACCTTCCTCTCCCTCCCAATTCCCAAACCAACCCAACCCAACCCTTCTCCCTTTTTTTCCTTTTTCTAAAATTCTTATAAAATATATAAACCATCCACTGAGGTTGAGGCACGTCATCTCTCTCCCCTTCATATCCATGCTTCCAAATTAGGGTTTCCATTTCAGATTTTGTTGACTCGTCGCTTCGCCTTGTTCCAATTTCAGGGTAAGGGAAAGGGTTGAGGATGAGGGTTTCGGGATCGGTGATCATCTTCGCCGTCTTGCTTTGTGGGACCCTTTCCTCCACCGCTCAATCGCATAGTCTTTCTCCCTCCTCCGCCGTCTGTCCCGTAGATACCCCTCTCGATTTCATCCTAGGGTTTCCCGATTGGACCCAACCCCTTCCCGATTCTGTTGGATCCATCGCCGTCACCGAGGTAACCCTTTCTCTTTCTTCTCTCTCTGTGTGATTTCGGATTTGAAACCTAAAGTTTAGGTAGCTTCTTGTCGAGCTGGTATTGTTTATGCCAATTGTGATACCGTGTTAGTGTAGTATGATTTTGATGGAAACTATGCGTTTGTGATGTGCAGGGAGATGAGGTTTCTTTGCAGAAGGCACTGCATATGGTTCACAAGAATGATCACGAGTATGTGGCTGTGCTCTTCTATGCATCTTGGTGCCCTTTCTCTCGGATATTTAGACCAATTTTCTCTGTCCTCTCTTCCCTGTATCCTTCCATTCCTCATTTTGCTATTGAGGAATCATCTGTTAGGCCAAGGTTTGTGTTCTTACTTTCACTTTTATATGTGTGTATGTGTTTCCTTATGTTTGTGTTTTTTTTTTTAACGATTGAATGTTTTTCCTTTTCTTGCAGCATACTATCCAAATATGGTGTCCATGGTTTCCCTACACTGTTCATTTTGAATTCTACCATGCGTGTTAGATATCATGGATCTCGAAAACTTGACTCGCTCATTGTTTTCTACAGTGATGTTACTGGTGAGGCCTGTTTTTCTTTTCCACCTTACATTTCGTGTTTTGTTATCCTGTTTTTTCTACCTATGAATCAAAGACAGCAACTTTTGCTTGAGAGTGTTGCAAGTAAAATTCACATTAGAGTTTTAATTTGATCGGAGTGGTCAATCCATTTGTAGAGCTTTCAAAAACTTAAACACAGGTACATTAAAATATGTTTTCCAAACATTATCCTGTGGAAGAAATGGATGGATTTGTTTGACACAAGGAAATATGTTGGAATTGATTATTTGGTTTGTCTGAAGCATTTGTTTCTTTCCTATAGATTGATTTTGGTTGTTAATCAAGATTTGTTTTAATATTTGATTGATGACATGCTTTGGCTGTGCCTTATTTGTCCCATATTGCAATCAAGCAATTACCGGTGTCTTTCACGTGAAATGGGAAAACTGTTAGGGCTTGGGAGCATGGGGCCATAAAAAAATGTACTCGTGCCATAACAGAATCTGTAAGCATGTTTAAGTGGAATGTTTTAAAATTTCAAAGAATTTTTAATGCAAGGGATTTTAAATCCTTGATGGTCAAGCCCACAGATGACAGTATACTCCCTAGTTCATCTTCCAAATTTATAACCCTGAAAATCCTCATTTTTTCACCAACAAAATTAGCTTATGAAATACCATCACCCCCTACAACAACCCCTTCCTGTGACAAAATTTGGATTTTCTTGCTTGAAGAACAAGATCAAAAGAACAAGTGCCAAAGTGAAACATTATGATAGTGCCTCAACTATGGTGATTAACCTACAGAGACTCTGAATTCATGGTGGTTGCAGAGATAAAGGTAGGGGAAGGAGTTTGTATTTAGGGGGGTAGATGGCAATTTTTGAGAACATATGCAATGCTATAGTCTCAGTGGGAAGAGAGGGCATTATTTTAAGATTTGGAAATCAGAAATGTATCAAGTTCCTAAGAGAGGAGAATTCATGGATTTTAAAAATTTACTTAGGGGGGAGACTTCCAAATTCTCTGTTTTTGGTTCAAAACTTAATGAAAATTCCAAGCATTTTTATAATTTGCTTGTTTAATATCCAAAAAATGCATTTTGTAGTAAATCACCTTAATGCTTTGAATAAATAATATATTACCTCTTTTAAATTCTTTATCCCTATACACTCTATTCCTTATTTTATTGTATAACTCATTATTTGGCTGTCATTGTAGGGATTAGGATTGCTTCATCTAATCAACTATCACTTGTGAAAATTGGGCATCCATCAGCTACCGAGAATCATGGTAACACTGAGCCAGAAAGTTGTCCATTCTCATGGGCTAGATCTCCAGAAAATTTACTGCGTCAGGAAACTTATTTGGCTCTGGCCACTACATTTGTGGTTTTGAGGTTACTATACTTATTTTTTCCTACACTGCGTATATGTATTCAATATGTTTGGAGAAGGATCATCCAAAATGTTAGAATAGGGAGCTTGCTGGAACATCCTTTGGTTTATTTGAAGCGAATAATACAGTCATTTAACTATCTGAAAGAGCCATGCAAGAGAAGTAATCTTCAGGAAGGAGCAATGAATGCTAAAGCATGGGCTTCCAAGTCCCTTGCAACTGTTTCAATTGGAGAAGAAAGCAGCGGCCGGGGGATGCACCAGTGAGTTTCCTGTCCCAAGCAGTTATCCCTCATGAAATTGGAGATCTGAATATACCTCGTGAAAGGCTTGGCTGCAAGTTATGCCATGTACTTTTATGCCAGGATCATCTTCACACCCTTGGGCTTCATGTTAGTGAGGTCAATTATGTTACTGAATGATGTAATCGTCCCTTATATGTCCATATGATCAAGAAATACTTCATTCAGCGTTCTAGAGGATTGAGACTTCAATGTGTATAGTTTAAATGTAGCAGACTCGAGCTGAAATCTGTAATTCTTTGACTTGTAGGTTTACTTGAAGGTCAAATCTTTGATCATCAGTTCATAAATTTATTTTTGTTGGGAATGAAATGATTGTAAATCCCGCTTAAACACATTGGATGCCATGTTCGTGTACTCGATGCATGGTTATTTGTAAAAGTTCAAAAAGAATAAGATGGTGATAATCTGATTAAAATGTCATGTTGAAGTATTTTATTTCAAAAGCTAGAGTTTTATGTTTGAATCCTTTTATCATGTGTTAAAAAATCATGGTCTGTAACGGTGAGCTCCTTAGCTAACCTCTTATAGTGACTAGACCCCTTGTGCTGATATGGTAATTTGATATTTCTAGACACAGATGTCTCGCACTATTTTATTTTTTGGTTGGTGTTGAGAGAAGAGTCTGTGCTAAATGTTGGTTTTGAATCTTTTTCGCAGGAGTTAAAAAATCATGGTCTGCAACGGAGTTCCTTTGGAATTTGATATTTCTAAACATTAAGATGTCTTGTTCTATTTCTTTTTTCGTTAGCGTTGAAAAAGATTCTATTAAGTAGACGTTGTCTGCAGAGACTGGAATGACAGCGTAATAACAAATTAATCAGATTTCTTAGCTCCACATGGTCGGCACGTTTGCATTTAAAATCTGATGAAATGAAATTACCTTGCAATTCATTATTAGTGTGTATTGTTTTCAGTCATATTATTTGTCGCCCGCAAGTAGAAAATTTGGGGGTGAGCCACGGCTCGGTTTCTTGCAATTTCATGTCTATGTATATTGATTGCTCTTATATGCTACTAAAGGGAAATTCTGTTGAAATAATTTTTTCCATTTTAAGTTTCATTACTTAGATGTTGCAAGAATTTGTAATTCATTGGATATCTTCCTCCTGTCATTGAAGTCTATATTAACCAAAAAAAGTTAAAATTGTTCAAAAATAATAAGGATTTAATTGAAATATGCTAACATATAAGAATTTTTTACACTGTTATCTAATCATAAATTATCATATAATTAAAACTATTGACATTTGAAATAATTACTCAAAATCGTATTTCAGGCAATTTTTAATTAACAGTATAATAATTTTTATACTAACATATATTAAAATTAAACTATAGGCAGCAATAAATATTTTTAACTGCTAAGTGGGATATTGATAAGTCTAGCATAAAAGTAGATTATATTAATTACTTTGACAAGTCGTTACCAAAGTTTTCAAATAAACTATGTATAATATACTTCCGGAAAGTCTTTTATTTTTCCTAATGATTTACAAAAGCCTTTGATGTATATTTTCGGTAGAGTAAAAAGTCTCGGTTTTCGGTTTTCATGGGTGTTTATGATCTGCGAGTCACTCTGCCTCTCACGTAATTCTTATTCAATGACGTAATGTCCTTCTGCTTGGTCAAAAAACATAAAACAGGAAATCATGCTACATTTCTAGTCTGCATCAACAGACAAAGATGCTTTTATTCATTTTATGCAAGTACTTGCGTAAATGCATGAAACATTATTCTTATGGCACCAAAAGCTCGTGTGACAGGATCGTGAAAAATCTCTGAAAAGCCAACTTGGGCACCTCCTCCAATTTGGAAAATAGAACCAAGAAAAGAGGGTCCATGTCTATCAAATATTGTGCTAAACAACTGTGTATAGAACATGGACCAAAAAAAAAAAACATGGATAGGACCAATCATTCTAGCACTCACTATACTCCAATCAATAACTAGAAGCATATTCGTCTTTTACAAAGCCGCCTGGTCTTTTATGAAGAATAAAAAGATAATATACAGCAGATTCTGAGTAGTGACACTTGACACAAAGAAATCAAACATTCTCAAGCGACAAAATCTAATGAAAAAAAAACAAAACCAATTTTAGAGCTTGACATACCCTTCTTTTTGTTTCTATGGCAAATTACCTATTTGGTCAAGATTAATCCAAACAAGTATGTAATATATGTTGTTTGGCCCAGACCATATGTTGACATGCTCTGTATGTTGAGATGTACCCTATTATTGTCATAAACTGCACCCCATCATGAAACACAGTTTGAAAGATATCATCATATCATCACCTGAATTTAACCACAACACAAGATATATCATCTTTACTGTCTCTTTTTAATGCTTCAGCTGTTAGTTGCTTAGCTGCTTTCTGTGGGTCTCTCGTTCTTCTAGCAATATCCACTGCCTCTTGATTAGCCATTACCTGCTTTACCACATGCAAATGGAATTTTTTATTTTCGTTTTTATCTTGACCTTCAAAAGCATGAGCCATGAAAACAACAATACATTTCTATTTCACCTTCCAAAGTCCATCACTTGCAAGGATTAGAATATCAGTATCAACATCTATGTCAGTAGACTGTACATCAGGGTCTGATCGCAAATGTGACTTGAGACTCTTGTCTCCAAATGCACGGGAAACAGCCAGTTGTCCATTTACTCTGGGCACATCACCTTGCATTTTCATCAACATTATCATCATCATTAATGTCACTGTAAGTATGTATAAAATGCCATCTTCGTGCGATCATAAACATAATCTCACTTATATCACAAATATGTAATATCCACTGTATTACTATATGAGACGTCCTAGTTGTTTCAACTTTCATCAATAGGTGCATTGATGTGATTTCACACTCGGGAAAATTAACTTCAACTCATTGCTGTTCTGTTGTGATTCTTTGATATTAACATATGTAGAGTTTAGCTTCTTTATATAGATTTCATGATTTTTGGAAAGGAAATTTTCTACTGGACCTTTTATGGATTGCTGACAAATTTGTAATAAACTTTTCTGTTGGGATACGTAACAAATCCCATACCCATCCCCACTGCCCTCTGAAAGGAAAAGTAGATCACAAACATAGTACACACTTTCAAGTTAAAAAAAAACAAATCATATCGGTTATGATGTGTATAAGCAAAATTTTTTTTGCAAGAAAAACAAAATCACAAATAAGTGTGCAAATGTCTAAAAAAAACTTCTGTGCTTGAATTTAGTTATGATTTATAAAATAGAGTACATAGATTCACATATTTTCAAATTTATTCCATACAGATTAACCATAGAATATTCCCTGTGCAAGGTTTTTTAATCTAGTAATACGGATGCATCATTAACAAAATACATAAATTGGTCTGCTTCTCTAGAGTATTTATTATAACAGTGAAATTCACTTAAGCAATTTGAGCATATTCTCTTTCTACCAAATGATAGCTACAGATTAAAGAAAGAAAGGAGACCCATACAAGAAACAAGAATATCAAGGCTTATAAACTCCATAAACTGGAAAAATGGAAGATTGAAGATACCTGGCAAGTTGGAGACAAAACCACCTCTATTCTCAATGCTGCCTCGTTCTGTGTTGGGCTCATGATCTGTAGTCATTTGAACAGCTTGACCTTTTCTTGACAGAACAGCTCGTGAGTCTCCAACATTAGCAATCCATAATCTTCGCCCATTAATCAATATTGCAGTAACAGCTGTTGATCCACCACGCCCCAAATCAGAACTATGTGATAGAATTTCCTGATCTGTGCTTTCATATGCTTTTGAGATAGAAAAAGTGGGGTCACTCCAAAATTCCTCCTGGGATACAATGAAGATGTAGAAGTTAACATTTCTAATTGATCTTCGATCAAATTAGCACAGAAACTATATGATTTTTTTTAACAACTCAGGAGAGTAAAAACCTACCTCACTCAAAATGTTGGTAAACAAATGTTTCTGTAAGTAGGCAGGTACACGGTCTCCCAAGTGACCATCATAAATAGCAAATAAACCCAATTCATTATCCTCTATCTTCGCAAACTTGGCAACATGATAATCTTCCATTGGGTGATTAGCTTTCCCTTTGACCAAGCTGAAACCATACTTTATTGAGCCTTCATGATTTTTCCCCTTACCAGTGCTGGATGAAGAACGTGATGCTACAAGCTGTAAAGCAACCAAAACAGAGAAATTGAATAGTCCTGCCAGTTTAGGGCACGTATATAAAAGGGAGGATAAGAATTTGATTGCACAACAAAGTCACAGTCATTGCATTAACATCACCCATATCCAACAAACACAGCCATTTAATTTTATAAATTGTAAGATAATATTGAAGATATCATAACACTCAAATTCAGTAATTTATAGGAATATGAATCCCAGAAATGTAATTCGAGTTTTCCCCCAAAGTGAGTGACCAATAACAACTGAAAACATATACATAAAATTTCTATTAAGCTCAATACAATAGACAGAAGATAATGTTTCATGCAGAAGCAAGACACAACTAAGAGGAGAAGTTACATTCTTACCTGAGAGTATGAAGCCTTAAAGCAGCATAGCTTATCCATGAATGGCAAAAAAGTTTGAGCAGCTAGTTCGACGTTTTCAACTAACTCTCAACACAAACCACTTTGCTGAGACCTTGAATTCAAATTTCGAAAGAAACCCACTTACAGAAATGGCAGGCCTTTTCCAGAATCACAAACTGTGTGATCGAAAACAGAAAGACAATAGTCAAAAACAGAATTTTCAAAAACAGACCCAAAACCCCAGAAAGCCAATAAACCAGGTACCAGTGTAGTGACAGAAGAAAAGGAAAAAAGCGAAGTGTGAACGAATCTTAGCCCACAAGTCCAATCAAAATTCAGAAAGGATTGGAGTTGTATTTGGATAGTTGTTGCTGTTTCCCTTCCCCTGCTCTGTTTCCCAGTTGGCAGAAGCTAAATTAAATAAGCAGATGCTGATAAAAGAAGCAGAGAAAAATGAGGGAGCGAGAACATTTTGTGAAGAAAACAAAATGATAATTTTGAAGGTTGTGTGCGAGGCAGAAAGGAATCGTGGGATGCTTATGTTTCTCTGTTATGATATTATTTTGTAACCGTTTCGGGAACCTTAAGCCTCGCAAAGACAGGGAAAATAAATTGTTTTTCTCTAATGCGAATGAAAAAGGGAGCCCACAAAGTATACCAATGACTTCTTTCCTGTTGACTTTTCTATTTTTCTACTGTTACAAATTAAACCTTTTTCTTTTTTTTTTAAATTAGAACACTCAGTACATAATTCCTGTTGAGTATTTTTTATTAAGAGATAATAATCTACCAACTATATTAAATTTTATTGGTCTAAATATCTAATTTTATGTACAAACAATCGTCTTAATTTTAAAATTATAATTTTTATGAGTTATTTTAAATAATAGTAGTTTTTCTGTATTGAGAATTTATTTAAAATTTGAACCATAATTTTTCTCAATTTTATTTTCAGTTTTAAAATTTTATCTATTTAATTTAGTCTTAAATTATATCATACAATATTTATTATTAATGATTAAATTATTTTTTAAAAATTTATAGAGATTATTACATTTTAAAATAATCGTACGATCTATATTTATAAAATACTTAAAAATTTTATTTTAACTTATCCAAACCTATATGGTGTTTGGAAAACTTGCTAGCAAATATTCAATATTGTATTTATTAAATTTAATACATATACATATAATTAACTGAATAATAAATTGTATTAAAAAATAATAACACTATTGAATGTTACAATTCAATTGATTATTATATCATTAATGATAAAAAATAATTGTATATTTTGATATCAGTAAGAATTAATAAAAGATATTTTAGAATTAAAAAATTCAAATGTATATTAATATATTAATATAAAGTATTAAATGTATATAATAATCAATTTTTTTATCATGAACGAATTATTATGATATATTCTAAATATTATAAATTATTGAAATGATTTTATTTTAAATTATTATTGTTTATAAAACATTTTAAAGCAACGCAATTTTAAATGTATATGAATATACTTTTTTTATATATATAAGTAGAAGTGACTATATACTTTTTATATATAAGTACAAGTTACTGTATATTAATATTTAATATTATATTTATCAAATATAGTATATAATTAATTTCATAAAATATTATATTCAATTTTATTAATATAATTTAAAGTTAACAATTTAGTCAAATATCATATTCATTGTTTATTTGCTTATAAGAGGAATGATTTCGTATATTAGTAAAGATTATTAAAAAGGTTTTTAATAAATAGAAAATTTTATTATAAATTCCAAAGATATATATATATATATATATATATATATATTCACATTAATATAATGAATTTAGAATCATAAATATATAACAATTAATTTCTTAATTTTATTGGTCTAATCGTATTTATAAATAAAATAATATTATTAATTTTAAATTATAATTTTTATTAAAAATAATTTTATGACTACTGTTATAAAAAATTAAAAGTAGTAAATACTTGAAGAAATTAAAAGCACCTGACGTTAGAACACAAAACAATAGTTTCACTATTTAAGTTACTGTAAGTTCCGAATGGATGCAAGTTCTGAAGTTCCCCGTTCGAAAGTTGTTGGAGTATATGTGCCTTAATTGCAGCCAAGGTAGGCAGTACAGGCCCAAGAACTTCTATTAGTTCACAAATTATAATCAACATTAATGTTAATTTAATTGAAAATGAACCAATTTTCCTGGTGCCTTCATCAAGTTGTTGAAAGTTTTCACTGATGCCAGTCATCAAAACCATAGATCATTGACCAACGAATTGAATTGGTCCAAAATTTGACTATTTGATTATATATATCTTTTCTTCTCAATACAACGTAGTAGGATGGATCACGAATCAACTATTGAAGTAGATAAAATTATATAAGTTAAGGTTTTAATGTTATTTTGTCTGAATAATAAAAATATCATAAACTTATGAACGTTGAATATAATGTTATTATCTTATAAATTTCTTCTACGTTATTTCAGATAATAGCAGTTTTTCATCAGAGAAATAGAAAATACTTCCGAATCATAGTTGTTAAATTTTATAATCTTTTACCTTGGGTTGTTTGACATGCTGTACACACTTTTAAGCTTACATTCTTTTCCTTTTCATTATGGTGAATTTGTCAAAACTCATTTTCAACTTTTTTTCCTTTCATTTTTTATGTATCTTACTTTCACAGCATAAATATGTTTTAAATTAACGTATGAACCTGTAAAATATAAACTCAGAAGCCCAATTATTTTTATTTTTTTAATGAAATACAAGCTAATTAAAATATATATAGTGATTGAAGCATCTCATTTTATTTCACATAAACATAGTATATTATATATAATAATAATAATAAAAAAAAAGTAAAGCCATAGTTGGGCCTTTGCTTGTCCCATCCATCACAAGTTTAAAATAAAAGAAAAGGAAGTGATAAATATGATATATGATATAACAAGAGAAGATAGATAAAAATATATACAAAGGATGTTAAATAAATATTAATACTATTGGGGTGTATAACAGTTAGAATTGAGATTTTTATGTTGCATTTTATTTTTAGAAGGCGGAATGGAGAACTATTTGTCTAATAGATGGACAAAAATCATAGTCTTTTTCAAAAGAAAACCGAAAGCTCTTTTACCTTTCAAAAGCAGCTGAGCTGAACAAGTCAAGGCAGGCCCATCTTTCCTACTATTTTCTCTTCATCTAATTTCAATGCACCATTTTGCAGGCTGCAAGTTTACTTTAATTCTATGAGGAGGTTTTGTTTCATGTTCAAAATTCAAAGCCATCTTTTTACTCAATACATTTGCATTCTTTGCTAATTTTGATTGATTCCCCAACATGGTCAAAGTGCTAATTTAATGTTACAAGTGTGCTCCATTCACTATTGGGTTTCAATAAATTAATTGATTTAGTTCTTTCAGTACTTAGTGCTCAAGTTTGCATACAAAACATTATTTTCTCTACCTTCTTCAAAACAGTTAGTTGTGAAGCACCTGATGACCTGCATACTTTAATATGAGCTAGGCTTTCAGATTTCAACTTGAGTTAATTTAGAAACTGCATAAATTCGTAGGCTCTTTTTATCATAACATTCATATCAGATGAGATGAGGAACTTTAAGTAACCACTGCCTTAATGGTTTAGTGGCAAGTAGCTATTACATCCGAATCCTATGACATTAACATGGCTCTAGGCTTTAAGTGATTGAGGTTTACTTAATAATGTTCTAGGATAGTACCCTTACATCTAAGGTGGAATCCAATGCTTTGCAAAAGGATAAAATTTATATATTATTCTTTAGGTATCTTTAGTGTTCTTCATTAATTTTAATTAAAATTTTGTTTTAACACAATTTTTATATTCAATAATATCGCAAATAAATGAAATAAAACCTTAATTTTAATTAATAAATAAAGCTAATAGCATTCAAAATTTTGTATCCATATGCATGAAGTCAATCACACGATCTTGGTGCATCACTAATTAATGCTCAAGTTAATTTTGACAATGATACAAATAACCCAATTTCATAGTCAAGAGACTTTCGAAAACAAATTTATAGAGTTCAAACAAGAAAATGTCAACACCTCGCAAGTTGATTACTTTCTTCGATTGCATGCCTTTTTAGTTGCTTGGAAGGCCTTGCCGAATTAAAGACACGAATGCGCAATTTTTTTAAGCAATTGCAACAGGGATGGAATCAATTTTGCTTTTAGGACGAACCAGATTGACCTATCATGCGCCTAAGTTACAAGGAAACACTCTACTCCTCATCATCATGGAGCATGGCACAACTCTTTAAACAATCACTTGTCAGGTAACATTAGCTTGCCATGCAATATGTTTAAAATAATGCAATTTTAAGCTCCATCATTGTGCCCTAATAAAATAATCCTTTTGCTTGTTTAGTTCAGGTATATAACGTGTCTTTTGGAGCAATTCTAAATAATGCAATTTCTTATTGATAGTTTATGTAAACAATTTTATTCAAACAAAATAAAATATATGTATAAATCGCTCAAGCAATTCTAAATTCTAAATATCTTTATAGTATTCTTGTATAATTCACTTTAACAATTCTATTTTTACTTAAATTAAATAATTTATTCTAAGAATTTTGCTCCTTTAAACCATTTAACTTTATTTAAACAAAATAGATTTCACGTGAATTCTATCTCAATTAAGTAAATTCAGTCTTATTTAAATAACTTAGTCTAAAAAGTGTTTGCTCTTTGTCTAATTTTTACTTAAGATAATTATAATTTGTTTAAGCGATTAATGTCTCACTTAAGAAAATATATTCTTACCTAAGCCAAAAATTATGCTTCTAATGCTTGCTCTCTATCTTATATTTACTTTAGATTATTAATATTTATTGAAATATAAATATACTTAAGTAAAATTTAATTATATTAAGGTATTCTTATTTAGACGAGTTATATATTTACTTAAGTTATTCATGACTCATTTAAGTGATTACTTCAAAATTCATTTAAATAAATCTAAAATTACTTAAATAAAAATAGAATTAAACGCAAATTAGATAGAATCCGAATACTAGAAAGTTAGAATTTTTAGAATATACTTCACACTATACATTTTTTATGATAAGAGAACTATAATGTTACTTTTATTAATTAAAAATAATTTTTATTAAACGTATATTTTTAACAACATTGAATGTATATTTTTAATTAAATTTTTTTTATTAATTTTTTATTGTCTACCCTTTAACTACATTAAAAAATTATATTGAAAATATAAAGTAACGGCATGGCTATAGCTGCAATGAACAATTTTGTTCTGTTTGAAGTTATCATAGCTAGTTAATTAAAGTGCCTCCATGGTCATCTTATCTTAATTTTTATTGTAGAACTTCCCGCACAGTAACTGGAAAGAAATTGCAAGGAGTTTAGGCTTGCTATCGTCCCTGGTATTTAATTAGCATGGCCAGTAACGGTTACAAACCCAGTACAGAATTAGGTTCTTTAAAGTGAAAATGCATCAATGATGACCACTAAATGAAAAAGCATATGAGATTTTACCAACTCTATAATTTGTTACTATATTCATGTGTTTTATCACAAACTCCAAATCTGATTTTTAAATTAATCAAAGTAATTGTACTTAAATGCAATTTAGAGGAACCCCAAACACTGAACGTACCCCAAACAAATAAACATGTAGACAGCACTATGACTGACACTTACATTGTGCTGTTTTAGAAATTCATTAGAAGTATGTTTCATACGTTTCATAAAATTAGCAGTTGAGGTCCACATTGTGTTACAGCAGTGATCATGGCTTGTCAAAAAACAAAAACAGAAGTGGTTGTGAAGGAAGTTAATAAATGTTGCAACTAAATGTGTATCTTCACCATCAAATGCATTGGAATTTCAAAAAGGATAGAACTTGATTACAGGTGATATTGTTCTCTAATCATAATTAAAATTTCAAATCGATAATATACTTAATAAAAGTTTGTATTAAGATTCAGTATACTAACATCAAAGGTTAGCAAATATTGCTCAGGTAAATTTTTAATTCTGATTCAAAAACAACACTAATAATATCTATAATATTACACCTAAATTTTGTTTTTCCAAAAACAATTACAGAAACAGAAAAGAAAGGGCTTTAGCGGTGTAGATTAATATGCTGCAGAGGTTTAAGAAATGTGAGTACCAAGATGAGGGGCACTTTATACCGGTCAACACAGAAATGCACAGCATGGAAAATGTAAACAACGCTTGGATGATAATAAGTAACATATCTGCCTTAAATGAAAGCACAAACCTGAGTTTATTAATAGACAAAAGATGCTATGGTGGCTCTTTCTCCCTCACTACACAAAGTATATTAACTATACAGAAAGTTGCAAATATTGTACACGAGAGCAAAGGGAATGCGAATGATCTGCCGTATGAATTGAAATTTCCATACACATTGGAGATCAGCAGTTGGTAAAAGGAGTAGGAAATGAACACGTGTATGTCCAATGCGGGTTCAACATCTCACTTTCTCTCAAGATAAAAGTGAGTGTTTATTCCACCTCCTTGCTTCTAATCTAGTTGCTTCAACATCAATTACCTGTAATTAAGATTTATTTGTGATAACATATCTAGAAGGAATCAAAAAAAATAAATCATAAGCATTAAATTCTCAGCTCTCGGGACTAACTTTAAGCATTTACAAACAGAAAATTCTTATAAAAAAAATACACATTTATTATATTGAATTTATAGAAATATAGTAAATATTTTTCTTTCTAATAAACTTTTATCTATTATTAGCTACTTATACTCGATCCTAAGGGCTTAAGTTAACAAAACTCTTAAAGTTAAATATAGAGCATTGACAATTCATTTCAAGTGCTGACAGAATGTACGCGTACATATATAACATCTAACAAATTTTCAAGAAATGCGAGATTAACTAATAATTGAACTAAGAAAATAAATAGCTATTAATTGATGATTTAAAATTAATTTAATTACAAAGTACTTTAATTTAACTGAATGATAAATAAATTCAAATATCTTACCCAGTCTGAGGTAGTCGCCTCCAATTCAGCAATTGGTGAGACTGAGGATGGCTTTGCAAGAAAGATGAACTGCTGGTTATACCATTTTCATCTCCTACAAATTGTTCTGAGTAACTGGAGGCTGGTGGAGACCATACTGGAACTACACCTCCATCCCTTTCTCTCCTGCCACTACTTGAAGATTCTACTGCAGAATCTTCAGCTCCATTTCTTAGCTCCATTATAGTATTGTGTTGTATTCGTGTATTCCTATGAACAGTCGGCAACACCCTTTCATTCAATGTGTCTCTTGCATTTTCTTGTGCATTTACATTTATTGGCACTTCAGCTCTGCTGCTCTCTTCTACCGTGTTTCGAAGATCAGAGGAAGTTTCTTCCTCTTCCACTCTCAACAAGGAAGAAGTAATGCTTGGAACCATCTGATCCTGGTAGTGTCGAGCAACAGGATGTGGATGGTTCCTAATAGGTTCAGGACTTTCCTCCATTTGTATGTCTGGAGGAAAAGCAGCAGGAGCTGATTCAGAAGAGTCTCCAAGTCCTTCCTCAGTTCCATTTTCAATTGCAGCTCTTGAAGCTGCCTCTTGTTGCCACATTTCTGAGAGTGCTTCTTGTAATCTAACTTTTGCTGCACCTATTACCACAATTGGAAGAGGATAATTTGATCCTAGTTCTATTCCAGCTGCTTGAAGCACTGTTTCTGGTGCATTCCATGGATGATGTATCCATTCAGTTGGTAATCTAGCAAGTTCTGGAAGCCAGCGTCGTACATATTCTCCATTTGGATCAAAATTGTAGCCCTCAAACTATAAAATCCAACAGCTAAAATGAGTGTGTCTATTACTAGAAAATCTATCAATTTTTAGCATTCAAGTAGCCGACAGTAGTACATAACGTCAGTACCAATGTTAATAATCACTAACTCAAAATTCAATCTTATTGTCCCTATAGTTGCTAAAATTCTGAAGTATTCTAAAAATACATTTTCACTATCCAAATATATGCAAATCAAGGAATTTAGAATTCCTCAGTCCAAACGCAACTTAAAGGAAGTCTAAGTCATGCCTATCCTAAGAATTTCAGATTATTTTCAGACTGCACCCCCAAACCAAATAATGAAGCTCCTTCACTATCTCAAATCCAGTAGTCACAGTGGAATGGTTTAGGCTTCATTCAAAATTGATATTCAAACAGCCAACTCGAATATAAATATAACCACTGGCCTGTGCTATACATGCATTGAAATTTTTGGGCCAGTGAGACCGGAAATACTTACCAGTTATCACTTATCATTATATTTCACTATGGAAAACACTTAGGGTGGATAGAATAATCTCACACTATGAGCAAAAAATATAAAAATCAAATATTATATGTAACAGGATTATGCAACACATCTCGTGGTTTTCCGGATTAATAAATAAATATGTTAGAATATATAAAAAACATCTCGTAATATCAAGATTGTATCTTAAAATAATTTGGAGTATGTTAGGATTAGTTTCCATATTTCCTATTAGCTCTTATAATTAGTTTTCACGTTTGTTTATAATCTCATTTGTTTCTAAGGAAATATGAAAATCAATCCTAAAAGATAATCTAATATACATTAAGATATTATGATATATTTTTCATATCTTCTGACAGAAGACGTGCACATGCAAACAGATAATCATACATCCAAAGGGCCATCACAGAGCAGGATTAGGCAGCTTTTACACAAAAGTAACAGCACCTGTGGATTATCTATTCGGTCAAGTTCACGACCATCAGGGAGCGAACCAGATATGTATTGCCAACCAAGAGCATCACTTTCAAGATCTGCATCCAAGAGGGTGTCCCAGAAATATTTCATTCCCCATCTCCAAGGGAGCTGCAGAACCTTCACAAAGAAACTTGAAACTACAACACGTATCCGATCATGCAACCAACCAGTGGCCCACAACTCCCTCATGCCAGCATCCACCAAAGGGTACCCAGTTCTGCCTTGTCTCCATGCCTTAAAATAGCCTTCATTTACAACCCATGGAAAGAACTTAAGGTGGCCTAGAAGAGGCCTTTCATGACTATAGGGGTGGTTGAAACTAATGTACCTTGAATATTCTCTAAGACCAATAGATTTGAGGAACAAGTTCACACTTTCTTGACCGGCTTTGTTTCCTTCATTGGCCCACAACACTTGCTTGATGCGGACAAGATGGAAAACCTTTTTGACACTCACCTCACCAAAGTGCAAATGGGGTGAGAGAAGTGAGGTGGTGGCACTGTCAGCTTTGCTGCGATTTTTTGAGTACTCAATCAATGGACCATTTATGAATGTGGTCAATGCCTTGTTAGCATTGCTCCACCCAGGTGACCATGCTCGGGCAAGAAGTGCATTGCTGCCCTTCTCTGATTCATCTTCAAACACCAATGTATCACAAGGGCACCTTGATACATCACCTGAAAGAGGGAAAAAGTTGTCAACAAGTGAAAATTAAGGTAAAGCCTGATGAAACAAGAAAAATGAACAGTACTTACAAAACAACCATATAGATGATGCAGACTATCAGAAGCCAGAATTGAACTACACTTAAAAAGAACTTTTCTTGAATTTGTATATATATTTTTGTTTCTAGTCAACCATAATTGAAGGCCTTTTGGTTACCTAGGAACATTTTAAGTATAAATTTGTGCATCCAAAATGAACTCCATATTGTTAAATAATATGCTTATTATCCTTTGCACCCTTTTGTTATGTTAAATAGCAACTTAACAAGGGGTTTTAAAAGAGCATAGGTGGGTTTCTAGTCCGACTTAGATCACTAATGGACTTGAAGCACAAGAGCAAAACGAATTATGCAGTTGTCAACTACTCTTAACACTATGAAATTAAAAGAAAATTGAGGCTAAGGAAAGAAGTTAAAAAAAGTATACCTGGGATAATTCTTTTAGGTGGGAGACAAGGTGACTCAGGGTCATAAGGCATGCTAAGACATCTTTCCCAAAAAGCAGCAAAAGTTGTGAATGGTCGACCACGAGCATCATTGACATCCCATGGTTCATATAACAAATCCGCGTTAAAGGAACGTACTGTTATGCCCTGAGCAGTGAGAACCTCCTTTGCTCGGTGATCCCTTATAAGTGACAGCGGATCTACAACATACAAAATCACAACTAACATTTAGACATACTCCTACTCTCCTGTATTTTGCAAGCAATAACTGATGAAAACAGAAAAATATAATAGTGAAATAGAAATTTTGAGCTTATAAAAAAACATATCCGTAAATATTAATAGAAATGACAAACCAGTTTGTACGAAAAAGTAATCAAAGAAATCACAATACAAACTGATGAGCTGATTAAAAAAATCAATAAAAAAATAGATATCCTGTCCAGTAAATTGCCTCCTGACTAAGAAAACAACACAGCTTACCAAACAATAAAAGATAAAATAATACCAATAGATATAATCAACGATCCTACAGTGCACGATGATGCTTATAACTATGCAATGAACCTCCCAAAATCTTTGTATCATAATAGCAGATATCAACAGATGAAATGTATTGAACTAACAAAAAGTAACACAATAATTAAACAAAATATAATAAAATAATACTAAAGCAGCAAGCACTATAATCATAAAGAAGCACCTGAAGTAACAGACACTGAGATAGGAATAGGAAAAAGAGGATAAAGAACTGACCATATAAATGGTTAAAAAAGAGTTGAGTAGCTCCAGTGGACTTGACAACCTCAAGTAGAGAAGAAACACTATCAGTGGATCGTTTAGTGATGAGAGGAGTGCCAAGACTTCTCAAAGAGGAATCAAGATGAGCCAAACTGTGTTTGAGCCACCACCTGGAGACCCTGCCAGGATAGTATTGGCCTTCTTCTTCAGGTGCCCATATGAAAACTGCAACCACAGCTCCTGCTCTCACTCCTGCAATAAGTGCTGGGTTATCCTCCACCCTCAGATCTCTTCTGAACCACACTATGCTGCATCCACCACCTGACATCTCAACAAAAACTTCACCCACCCCACAACCTTAAACTATTCAGACACAAACACACACACACCCTCTCTATCAAGTTTTAACCATGACATGTAACTTGTCTCTTTACTTCCTGTCTTCTGAGTGCTGAAGAAAACCAAGCAAAAAATGTTAATTAGCTTATCTTTTTTCAGTTCTCTCTCCTCCCCTTTTTTCTTTGTCTTGGTTTTTCTTTCTAACTTGTTAATGAGAGATTTTAGGCCATAAATAGGGAAAACCACATTTTGATTTTTGGGTTGACGACTTTTTAAGTTTTGGCACTTGTGTTTTGCCTGTATTTCTTCTAACTTATCATGATTAGTTTATCTTGCTTTTGCGGTGAAATTATTTTCCCACAAGTTCGTGTATTGGTCCTTTCACTAGCTAGTTGTACGAAAAAACCCAAGGATTTGAGAGAGAGAGGTTGAAAGGAAGAGGAAGTGCATAAGATTGGTTAAGTGATAGGGGAAGATACATGAATTGATAGGCAAATTGCAGCCACAACTTTTTGTTCCGTAGATTTTTCATTTTTCTGTTCTCTTATCCTAAGAACTATGCGATAAATAAAACAAATCCATCGTCCACGTCTATCGTTTCTTGTATTTCTACACAACTTGTGACTCTCACTCACACGTTGAATACTCGCAAAAATCGTACTACACTCTCAATTTTAATTTTCATGTTTTGGCGCATACGTTTTCCTATGAATATGAAGCCCTCATTGGTCCAATAGGGAGTTATTACTAGCATTTAGCACACGTTGCTTAAATTAATGAGCTATGGTATTTAATTTGAAAGATACCAGAATATTGCGATTGATTGCACATATCATCACATTAAAATACATTTACTCGGTTAATTTTATTTTAGCATATTTTCTTTTATTTGGTTTTGCTATTTATTATTTAACGTAGGCTGATTAAGAAATTAATAAGTTTTTAATTAAAAATCACAATAAAAACATATTAATAATATAAAAATTATTTTGAACCTCTTATAATTGTTATAGTTAAGATGACAATATTAAATGAAAAATTCACTCTATACTATTTTTATATCTAATGTGTGATCGCGCTTATTTTTTGGTTTTTCCTTCTTATGAAAACGCTATTTGTACTATTAAAAGGTGACATTTTAGGTGTTTTTTTTTATTATTTGTAATGCATTTTTTAGAATGTGCATATACAAAAAATAAAAATATAGAGTATCGTACATGATATCAATTTTTAATAGTTTATATAATATAATTGTTTTTCTATATGTTGAATATACCTGATTTTGTTACTTCTGTCCTTAAAAACACCAACATGTACCTGGCTACTTATTCTTACCCTGTTGCAAGGTAACTATAATATTTACTTTAAAAAATAATTTTTCTAAAATCACATATTAATTTTATGTAATAAATTTATTTATTTTTAAACATAATACTCATTAAATCCTATAGTCAGCTGTTAATTGTTACCCTAAAATGTAATTAGAAAATTATTCAGAAATTTTAAAAATAATTATAAACAATAATAATATGTTTTTATGAATTTTTTCTTGACTTAGTTAGATTTAAAGTCAAAATAATATATATGAAAAATTAATTTTTTTATTAACTAAGTCTCACCCAGCTTTAATGGGCTTAATTAATTCTTTGACTACCGAGCTTTATTGTAAACGGTAAGTGTTTTTAACTAACAAAATTTAGGTGCTTTTTTACTAATTAAAACTGTGATATATATATATATATATATTAAACATACTTTAACCTAATTTTTTTTAATAAAGAGTGATTAAATTATATCAATGTAATTTATATGTACTCCTACATTGTTTAGTAATTTTTTTTATTAAATTTTAAATTAAAAAATGTATGTGATAATTTATTCATGTAGAATAAAAGTAACGTAATATATTCTTTTGAAACATATAAAAATAGAGACCATTTATTATATTTTTATAAATAATTAATTTTAACAAAATTTAATACAAATAATTGAGATAATATATAAACATAAATCAATAGTTAGACTGAGAAAATTTACATTTTATAAAAAAAATATTGATGGTATAAAAATTAATTTGTATTGGTATTTTTTAAGTTAAAATAATTTTAAAAAAATCAGTTTATAATATAAGTTTTGAATAAATCAATTATTAGAAGCATGTTAAAGAATATATGTACTTAAAAGAATATAGTGCTAATATTTTTTCTACCATAATGTAGATATTTTTTACTCATAATATTTATTTTAGTAAAAAATGAATCTTGCTTTGACGTTTTGACATTATAGGATTTTCTTTTTTTCACGCTTACTCAAATTGTGATTTGGAATCTAGAATTATGTTAGACAAAATGCAATTCAACTATAATTTTGTTAGATAAATTGTTTATTGTGGATTATGGATGACACTCGATTTACAATATTTTAAAACATAGGTCAGAAAATTAAGAATTATAATTAAATTCGAACTCCATCAGTATTCACAAAAGTAAGTTATGATAGGTAGCAGATTTACCTCCAAAATGGGTAATAAATTAAGATTAATAAAGATGAGTGCACGTAAGAATATTATAATATCCACCTAACCTAAACTCGCACATAAAATATAATACAATAAATTTAAAATAAATGATAAATACTTATAGTGTTGGGAATATAATGTCATGTTCGGACTTAAACAAATGAGGCATTGTCATGTTAATGACATGTCAATTAGTAAGCAAACATCTATAACTTTAGTAGCATTTGCCAGTAATTAAATTTTTGCTTTAAACAGGATTCCCTTGAACTGTGATTCAACAACAAATTTAACTAGATTAATCAATTAAATAACAATTAGAAAGTCTTGTTGATTGAATTATGGTTTCAGGTTTTAGAATATCTATGGAAGGGATAAACATGATTAATATATTTGGATCAAAATCAATGATTAGTCGTATCTGATTCTAGGGTCATTTTCCATATTCCTAGTTGCGTTCTTTTATTATTTTTCCTTTTCCATTTAAATGAACAAAGATGGGGGGAATATTTTCTTTATATCTCAACTTGGGACTTGCATAGAAAGCTAGGGTGTTAGTGTTAGTGTTAGTGTTAGGAAGAACGACACAAATCGACAAGCATTGTATACATCAGATGTGGATTACCCTTCTGGTGGGCCTTTCCTCCTCTTTACTCAGATTCCATTCACACGTACACATAAATATCACTACCCACTTTACTCTTCTATTTCGTTTCTTTTTAATTTCACCAATCAAATCTTTAAGTTACTATTTAATAAAAATGCAAATTAAACTTATTGCATTTACTTTATATGTGATATCCTAAACTATATTAATTAATCATGTATCAAGTTAGCTAATTTATACAACATTGTATATTAGGTTAAAAATTATATAATTTAATATATAAATACTATTAAATTTTTTTTATAAAATATATATTATTTATTATCTGTATGATATTATACAGATTAAAACAATCATAACAATAATAATAACAGCAATAATGTTTCTGTCCTTTTTTGTCATTATATTTCAGTCCTTTCCTTGAATTCTTTGCTGTGCTGTACCTAAACATGTAGGATTATAGCCTAATCCATTCGCCCGAATAAGCGAACTGACTTAATCATTGTTTTACAGGCCAATCTAACCCAAATTTTAAAAATCAGGACTGGAAGAACAGTATTAATGTTGTTGGGCTACATAGTAGGAAGCTAAGTGGACACTAGTTTAGTACTAACACATTGTTCAAGTGTGGATTAAATAAGCAAAATTTCATATTTTTAAAGTTTAATTATCATTTTAATCTATTTAATCTAAATAATGTGTAACAAATTTAATTTCATGTCGATTGTCTTGTACCTGAAGCCAATTAATTCTATTGATAGGTTTGAGAGTCACAATAGTGCTGATAACTCAAAAAATTAGTGAAGTGAAAATTCATTTATAATTAGCTAAAATCGAATAAGAATTGGTTTTTAAGAACATCGTTAATTTGAATTATTTTTTTATTTTCTTTTAAAATATCTTTGGAATAAATAAAGGATCACATATCACATTTATAGATAAATTATTGTTATTTAAATATTGTTATAATATTTTTATTTTATAAAATACGTAATATGATATTTTATATTAATTAAATTTTTATTTTCTTTGTTTGTTTCAAAAATTATATTGTTTTATTAGTTAATATATTATATAATATCAATAATATATGCTTAGTTATTTTTAATCCGATAAACCAATAAATTGAGTTCAATATTGACTGTCCAATTTTTAAAAAAATTGTCAAATTATTTGGTGGATATTAGTAAAATGGTTTATATCTCTAAATTGCATTCTCTCCTTTAATTTCTTTTTCAATATTTAACGTTAAGTTAATTAAACGGCAATTACTTTATGGCAACTTAACATGCTGATGAGATTTTTAATTCCCCAAACATAGCCCTAGTTTTTTTGACATAGCCTTTTTATTTGTAAATATTGATTATCACCACATATAGTTATTTTTATTATTCAAGTTAATAGTAGGGATTACGAATATTATTGTTTATCTTCTATTAAAATATCGGTTGCTTCAGATTTATTATATTTTTTATTATGAAAAATTAATGTGGCTAATAACATTAAAACAACTTGGACATCATGACTTCAAATTGAGCATCCATATCCAATTCAGTTCAATTGTAGTGCATGGCTTACATTAGATGAAAACATGAGTGCTAGTTATGAAATAGATAAAACGTTTGTAATATTTTTCTGCTCCATCACTTATTTTAAAATTGTCAAATCCATCAATATGTGTTATCCCAGGTACAACAACTACGAGTGCAGTGTATCACGCCATCATTCATGGTTTGTCTACAAATAAGATGGTCCTCCATCAGTATGCAACATGTGTCAATAAGATCAGAGACCGTGATGGAGAGTAGACTCTTGCGTGATTGTAAAATATGCTTCAATGAATACGTACCAAGTATCATATGTCAGACAGCATCTTCTATCCGTAGCAGATGATAAACGTGTAGAGATGAGTACTGTCTGTAAGAATCAATAATGCGATGGTGCTTAATTGCTGACTTGTTTTGAATTTGTTATTTATTTCATTTGGTAGATTGAATCCTAGTCGGCCAAGCATTCTGAATCGAATATAATGGCTAGTGATATTCAGCAGTCAACACTGTAAATATATGAATTGTCAATGTGGCCCAGAGAGCGACAATGGCGCGGCAAGCCAAGTATTTGTTAATTAGGAAGGAAACCAATTTAAAAAATGTTAATATTTAGCTTCAAGTTATTCCTATATAAATAGTCAACTCATGATAAATAGATATCAAAACACTTACAGAAGTCAAGTCTAAATCCTAAATATAAACATCTTCCCACGTGTATTTTTTTAAAATTTAAAATTTATATACATGACATAATATAATTCATCAGTGTGATTCTAGACGATAATTTTTTTTTTCAGTGGAGTGGGAATTAGTTACATCCTTAGCTGTAAATTCTCAGATATGCCATTGTTATCAACCTTGCATAATAGCAGAAAGAAGAAAGCTCTGGTCGCATAATGAGCACTGAGGAGTGAAGCCACGGATCGGGCCTCGGGTGATTGTGGGCAAAAGTCAATTATTCTCTGAAGTAACCAAGCACGAGTGCTAACTAGGGAGAGTTCGGTTTGGTATTGAGAGGCTAAACTCTTCGTTTGTAACTTGTTTAATTTGCCGCTAACATTGTACATGTATTTTCTTTAGTATTAATTTTTTAAAGATTGAATTTAAGTAATTAATAATAATAATTTTTATAAAAATTACTTTAAATACTTAAATTCAGCCTTTATAAGTTAATATTAGTATAACTTTTAACAAGCAAGCATGTTATATGCATTGTTTAATTTATCAATTCTAAGATAATAGCAAGTTTAAGTTTCAAATTTGGTTTAAACCTTGAAAGCAATAATTTATTGTTTTTGTATTGAGTAAATTTTGTCTATGTGTGCATTAACAAAAGTATTATTTTAATTATAGCAGGTAATTTTACTTATTCATTTGTGCATCACTTGAATAACATGTGCACCAAATTTACATTATCAGTTTCCCTAAATAATTACAGATGTGGGTTTTATTGTTTTCAAAGAAATTCTGTTCGATGTTCATCCTCTCCATTCATCCTTTGGTCATTCTTAATAAATTTGTAATTTGTGACTTCAGTATTGTGGCAATGCTACTTAATTTATATGTTTATTTTATGATTTGTATGATTTAATATGCACACATGAAAACAAATAAAGCATCTTAAGTAGTCTTTAGACTTGACCTTGCTAGAGGAGATGGGTAGCATAATGTTGCACATGTCATGTGGTCCATCTAGTGTTGCATGTTGTTGATATGTACATGTTGGATGCAATTAATGTTAGTCTTCTCAAAGGGAAAGTCCCAATAACAATCTCTTTGAAGCTATCTAGCAAGTATATATTTTGTCAATAGTAATAATACGGCTATGAAGAATAAAGACCCCAATCCCTTTCCCACGTGCGCTCTTCCAGACACTCAAATTGAAAATGAATTATTGGAGATAGAGTGGTGAGAGACTGTCGTGTCCTCTTAGAACACTGTATGACTTAAAATTGTTCAATAGCTGATAACATCAAAACTGGGTTTATGTAAATCCCCTAGAGTGCCCCTTGGCACTGTCCAAAGGGTTTTTTTCTTTTCGTTTTCTTTTAAAAATTATATAATTCAATCAAGAAATTGTGGTTTCAATTTTTAAAAGAGAGAAATATATTTTACTCTTTAATCATGCCTTCTTTTGGATTGTAAGAAGACTCATAATTAAAATAAATAAATAAGTAGCTGCGATTACTCTCTTATATGAGTTTGAGCCTTTGAAGTTTATCAAAATGATAACGGTTTTATTAACTTTTTTAATGTTAAATGTACAAAAATATAAAAATGCTTACTTTTGATTTAAATGATTAAACTTAGTCTAAAGAGCATAAGTTAACAAAACCATTCGTGAATTCGTAACCAGCAGCCATGGATAAGGTAGAAGCAGAAGCTTCCAACTGTGAATTCACATCTCGTTTCCTTTACTTGCGAGTGCACCATAAGGGTAAGAATAATGAGATATGTTAATTCAAGTCAATCACACTGGCCTTCTCATCTCATTTAATGCAATCAATAATGTACGGACAAAAAGAACATTTAGATCTGTTGCTCATTCGGGCGCTACAGGCAGGCTTCTTTGATATAAAAAGCTAATGAAAAATAACTTTAATTTATAAATATTTTAATAGTATTAGTATTAATTTAAAATTTTTTATTAATTTATTTTTCTGTGACATCATATTATTTATTATAGTTATTTTTTTATTTCCCTCTTTCACGATATAGACACTTCTTAAGATATCCACTAAACATTTTTCATTCAATAAAAAATAATTCTTTAACATTTTAAAATTAGGTATTAAGAAGATGAAGGAAAAAAGAGATATGAAAAAAAAAGTGATGAATGATATGATAAAAAAGAAGAAAGTAAAACAATATATATAAAAATATAAGAATTAAAAACTTATTTATGAGGTAAATAAAATATATAACATTAGTTTCTTGATGTGGATGCGATAAGAAAAATTTAGGAACATAAATAATATAAAATATCAAATAAACAAATTAAGGCCGTAGATACAATTTTATAAGGTGACTAAATAATTTGATACGATCAACTTGCACACAGCACATCATTGTGTTAAAATATACTTCAATTTTATAAGATGAATTTATCTAGATTTGAAGTATTATGTATTTTAACTACCATATAAAAAATAAGTATTATTCTCTCTCATATTAAATATTATTTTAATATTTTTTATTTATCTTAAATTATTTATAATTTTATAATACTAAAAAATATTAATCATTTTTAAAAACATTTTTATTCATTAAAAATAATTTTGATCAACTAATTATTATAATAATTTGAATATTACTCTAAAGTAACTCTTGTCCACTAACTACTTTAACAACTTCAGTATTTTTAATAAGAGTATTTTAGTGAGATCAATTTATTTTACTCTATTAATTGATAAAATACACAATAAGTAATTAATAAATGATAAATTTGTACGATATTACATGTTTTTTAATAAAAAATTGTTATAGATATAAAAATTTCATAAATACACAAAAGCTACGAGAATGACTGCTTGTTATGAATATGATTGTTCTAACTACCTGCTTTACATCATTTTCTTCATTGATGCTGCCACTCGCACGAGAGACATCGCTTCCAAGGCGTTACCACTATTTTATTATACAATAATTTTGCATATGTTTATATATGCATTAATACATCAATCAGAGGGTCTAAATATGCTTAGTTTAGGCGTTAAAATCTTATTTAAATTAACACAATTGCAATGACATAAGAATCTTTAAGCGGTACACAACGAATGGGGTAGGATTAGGTGGTGAAAATTTTCCCAATACTTTTAAATTAGGAGAGTATGGAGGAGAACAAACCTAACCACATTGTGATTTTCTTTGTTACTTTGACAACCATGACAAACTTGACCTCAACCAATCAAAACATTCAAGTGCCTTTGACAAGGCATACTCCAAAAAGGTGCGATTAGATTAATTACAAGTCCACTACTGGTGCATTGACATCTGTTAGACATCATCTTCAATGAGAAGACTTTGTAATCTAAGCTGTTTTTTCTGAAGGCTTACCAGTCAACTTCTTGATGGAAAAGGAATCAAATCTAACTGCTCACGATGGAAACAAAGGACTTGCATTGCCTTTCGCGCACCCATTCCCCTTAAAAATATAATCTTATCATGGTTTCGGACTTTCTACATATCTCAAAGTTTTCATAATGTGGCTTAGATAATCCATCACTAATTTACATCATTAATGTCGAAATTCCTTTACAAACAACCAATTTTAAAAAGTTTGGAATAAACACATTTAAGGCCAGGCAAAACATCCGGCAGATAAATCAGAACCATCATATGAAGAAGACAGAAATTGAAACAATTTAAGAATATTTCCTTACTACTCTAGAAGAATTACAGGCCATAACTCTTTCATGTAAAGAATTTAAGTCCCTTAAGTTGAAAAAACAACTCTTAACATTTCTTTTTGGTTCAGTAAAGCTTTAATTTGCTCCACTCCAGGAGCCTGGACTAACATCGAAGTTGAGAAGAAAGTAAACAATAAACCTATTTAAACTCTATTTTTCAGCTAATGGAAAAATAATTTTCGTGGAAGCGAAAATCGGTAAATTAATATGCTTGGTTGCTCATGCCATAGTTATTCAAAATACTGAAAGAAATAAGATAAATCATAAATTAATTAATAGTTCTTTTCTGCAAAGTAAGCTTATAATTTAGATCTTCACTTCTCCTGTTCTCTTCTACTCTTTCTACACCACTTTTGGGTGGTCTAAGTTTTCCCTTCTTTTCCTTAACTTTATTCGAAACAAAAATTATACACAAATATCAAGTTCTTGGACATACAGTAAACTAACAAATGGAACAATGAGTAAATAAATAAAAGAAAAGGCCGCGAAAACCAAACTTTATTTGAGCAAAGAACATTTATATATAGAACTGTTAAAAATGATACTATCATACTGACATTCAAACCGGTTCGATAAATGGAACTGTCTTGAAGTTATGTACAAAACATAGTATTGATATATAAATACGTATAATATATAAATGGACAAAACACATCTATATATACCTAGCTAGGGCCTATATATATATATATGCTTTAAGTTGCAAGAAGCAAATTAAAAAAGGCATAACACACACCATAATTCAACTTCTTTCAAATAAAATACTAAGATAGATCATGCATTATGGGGTCCTCAAAGAATAGTTCACACCAATAAGATGAGGGTCCTCCTCCATAACTAGAAGTGCTGCTGCTGGCATCTCCTGGATTGCTAGCTGAGGTCCCTATCACATTTGGAGGAATAGATGGAGCAGGGGATGGAATAATCCAGGATGAGTCATGATCAGCAGTGTGATCCCCTTGACTTACCACTGCAAAGTTGGTACCTTGACCTTGCTCACTATTCAAACATGATTGGGAACTGAAAGAGACTTGTGGGTCTAAAAAGTGAGGTAGCACGCTTGGGTGGTGGAGTGGTTGGGAGCTAGCAATGCCATGAGAAAATGAGACTGGAGTATCTGGTTGCAAGCAGTCTATCACTGGATTCTCTTTCACATTAGAGATTGAGTTTAACAAACTGTAAGGTTCCATGCTTGTGGTGGCATTTTGGTCATAGGAGTTGGTACTTAAGGAGTTTGAGGATTGGAATAGATAATGAAGGTATTGAAGCTTTGCTAGCTGAACTGCCTCTGCTTGTAACCTCACAGCTTGTTCATCCAATGACTGATGATCCATAAGGTCTGTCATGTTGGCCAAAGCTAGCAGATATGGCAAGCTCGTAACAAGGTCAGTTCTAGGTTGGTGTGTCATTGGATCAAAACCCATCTGAATCAACTTTTTCTTTAAATGAGTATTCCAGAAATTTTTGATCTCATTATCCGTCCTGCCTGGAAGATGGGTTGCAATTGCTGACCATCTATTCAAAAAGGTTGTGCATATAAAAGTAAGTAATAATAATTATTGATTAACATTTAAAATAAATAAATAAAAACAAACACAATTCGAACTTCTGATCCATATTTCCATCTTCCGAAAAAATAAGACAAGTCATAACAATACCCTTCCTCCCCAACAAAAAAAAAAGGAGTTATTATGACATGGAAAGTACTTGTTTCCAAGGATGGAATGGAGATGCAGAATTGTTTGCTCCTCTTCTTGAGAAAACTTCCCCCTCTTGATGTCAGGCCTTAGATAGTTGGTCCACCTTAGCCTACAACTTTTCCCACATCTGTTGAGACCTGCAAAAATTGCAAGAAAAATTGATGAATGAAGAAACACTGAAGAGAGAGAGAACTATAGTTGCTGAATAAAATACTAATAGAGCCATAAAACTACATATCTACCAACCGGCTAGCTTAGGGAGTGCTCTCCAACTTCCATGGCCATGTTTCTGGATATGCTGAACTAACTTTTGGTCTTCTTCAGGAGTCCAGGGTCCTTTCTTAAGGCCATTCTCATCGCAGCATGGGGACCTTCCCATTGTGCCACTTGATCAAAGGCAATTATCCTTTCCTCTGTTACCACCAAATTAAACTGGGGGCTGGATCACACTATTTATATTTCCATTCTCATTGCTTTCTTCTTGTTGTTATTTACCTGGATTAAAATAACATTTTGTAATCTTTATTATGCCAATTAAAGATTTTGACACTTCCATCCCCTTGGAAGTGTAAACGACAATTGTTTCATGCCTTGACAAGTATACCCTTTAAGCCATGAATGCAAAAACACCGCATCGTTTTACTAATTAATTAGTCCTATATAAATGATAATAGGAAAACATTCTTTGTATTATTAGGAGTGGATATATTTTTGTGTGTTTTCATTTTGAGTGTATTTTCTTAGATATTTATATATAATAAATAAATAATAAATTAATTTTTAGTAATTTAAATAACATATGTATTTGAGAATTGAGAACATCAACGTAAGAATTTAACATTTTTCAGAAAAAAAATAGGTTTTCTAATTTGTGCAATTTTTGTACAGAATAAATTCTAATAAATGCACTGTTTAACTCATTTGTATTAATTATTTTATAATTTTTTTAAAAAAATTATTTTTTACTTTCTCTTCATTAGTTAAGTAATACATTTATTAGGATTTAACCTGTGTAATTAAAAAAACTGTTATATTATTGGTATACAAATTAATATCAGCATTTGGTAGGAGCACTTAATATTTAATGCAACGCCTCTACCAGCAGCTTTTCAGTATTGGAAGTATAAATAGTACTTATAATTTTTTTTTTATTTTAATTTGTATAATCTTACACAAGATAAATCTCAATAAATACACTATTTAACCAATAAAAAAGAATAAAAAATAATTTTTTTAAAATAATTATAATAAAATAATTAATATAGATTAATTAAATAGTACATTTATTGAAAATTTTCCTATGCAAGATTGCACAGGTTAAAAAATCTGATAATATAATTATATTTCCAAAATGTGCTAATCTAACATTAATTATATGCTACCTTTTTTATGCATACATGCAATAATTAATGATTGAGTTTATTTTAGACCTGCTTAAGAGTTAAACTTCTTCATTTACTTTTTGGAGGGAAAATCACTTTTTTCTTGTTATTCAGTATAGCTATTCAGAGCAATAAATGTTTCCTCCTCCAGTTTTCCTTTTCTGTAATTTTGAAAATGAATTCAAAAAGTTCGATATTCATCCAAGAAATCAGGACAATTCGGTAATTATGGGCTAAACATTTTTTAGTTTCAATATTTAGATACTGTGCTAAAGTATCCTTAAAAGGACGAAACTTACAAAATAGATTACGTAACACGTGGCGAATGAGTACTTGTCGGAGGAACCCCTCCCATGCACGCAAAGAGGAGGCTGTTCCCCTCTTTCGTCATGGTTTGCATGGCATCGAAAGACTCACGTCCTCTCTTCTTGGATTTCATGCCCCCTTAGTCCCATAAAGAATCATTCACTCAACAATACCACGAAATACAGTCTCAGAATTATATATTATTGTAAATCAAACTATGTATATATACTACACACACATGCATACGACATGTAATACACATAAAAATTAAGTAAAGTAAGTTAACATTAATCATTTAATTTTATATAATAAATGAGTTTAACTTTATCTAAATTTAATAATATATTAAGATTGAATTATCTAAAAATTCAGATAAGCTATGTATTCACTAAATATTAAAAATATCGTTATAATGATTGATCAGGACTGTGAATATACAGTGATTTCAAATTATTTAATAATTTTTTTGTACTAAACCCAACTCCTTTTGATATAATTGATTTATTACTAATCTAATAAAAGTTTTAAAAATCATATTATAATATTATATATATATATATATATATAGACACATATTTTTAAGAAGTAGCCAAAAAAATTTAAATATTTATTCTTTCTATGATGTGAAAACAAATCAAATTACTACTCTAGTCTTTTTATAATAAACAAAAAACTAAATTAAAAAATAATTAAATTATTTATATTTTTATAAATATAAATTATATTTAATAAATATTCATGATATTAAATGGTGTAATTAGTGATGTGTATATTAACTTGTATTAATAAAAGAAGAGTATAAAAGAAATTTAATAACTAATACATCTTAAATTTATTTTATATTTTTTTTTATAATTAGGACTAAGAAAATTTTTATTTTATTTTTTATAAAAAAGAGTAGAGAATATATTTTTTTTTTATTTGTGAGGGTTCATGGTAGGATTTATATGGGAAAGAGAGAGAAAAGACAAGCTAGATAGCGGAGAAGAGACAGAAAAATGTTGCGGAAAATCAAATCTGCATATTTACAGTTCATGTTTCGCAACTTAATCAATTGAATTGAATCAGAGGGAAAAATTATTCTGATTTTTTCAAAACAATATAATAAATATATATGATCAACATTTCTTATAATTAATTTAATCTTCATGTTGTAATACCTTTATAATGTAACCATGGCCATTCAGAAGACACTCAAACGCGCACCAAACCACATATGCATGTGTCTCTAAGTCAAGTTGGCACGTAAAATATAGGCACATGTTACACAACTTTATCTGAATATCTAAACAGGTAAACGAAAAAATCTATGCAAGTTGTTGAAAATAGTTATAGCTAAATGGATAAATAAACTATACCAGTGAAAACTAGCCTAGAGGTTAAAAAGTCAGGACAAATCCAATAGTCGACTACATATAGCTCAATGCCTGAAAAGGACATAAAGGATGTGACTCGTTTGACTCGGAGGGTGGTGCAGTTGGAGACGTGAAGTAGAATTTGGTGCAGCAAACGCCCAAATCTACACCAATTTATTTTTAACCCTTAAGACATTCTTTGCACGGTTGAGAAACCTTCAATGGCGTTTGTTGGCGATTTGTCCTCTTGCACCTTGTTCTGTTGCATTTTTTCTTGGTCATAGTAAGATCTTACATTAATTTTAAACCCAATACAAAGTAAAAGGTTATCGCCTAGTACAAACTAGGTGTTTTAAAAGTTGGCTAAAATGAGCAATCCATCGTAATTGTATGAGCCAAGTCATCTCACGATGCTTCTATAATGACACACATACATTCACCTTGGGTCCTAGAGCAGTGGCTATGTACGTAGCTGGCTTAATATAATTGGTTCCCTATTTGTATTCGAATAAGATTCATTAAATTTTAATTTAATTAGGAAAATTATAGGTTGACAAGGATCAAACTATTAATTAACTAATTGATATATTAAAGAAATTCTGCAACTATGCCAAGAGAATAATCAGTATTTCTACAACCTTAAACATTTAGATAGAGGTATAAGATCAATTATTTATGTATATAACTCAACTGGAGCCCCGCGTGGCTTCATATATAAGCCATACATTTTCAAACCTAAGATTTATTCAATTTAATTATTTAAGTGTCGACATATACAAGGGACAACAAAGGAGTTAATTAGAGAGACCATTTTTTCTTCTTTAAAACACATTGCCTTTGCAGTTTCTTGCTCATGTGTCTTTACCCCTTTATAATTGCATTTGTTAGTAAACGGTTCAAACACACAAAGGCTTTGATCTTTCAGCCAAAGGATCCTGTCGGGGACCATTGTGTGTTCTAATGAGAATAGAAGGGACAAGTGATGTAAGATCAACTTTAGAGTTTCAATATAATATGATCATTTATTTCAGTGTCAGCTAAACAACTGATTTGCTTGCTGTAATGGATTTCCAACCAATACATCCATAAAAAAAAGTTAAAAACAGACTTCGAGGCCACCCACTTGGCTTATACTACCACAATTGCGACGAACGTATATGTCTTTGTCCCCTATGAAGGGCATTCTCAACTGGCTTGAAGGACACTCTACCAACTGAATCAATGTTCCGTATCTCTTTCCTTCAAATACCTTACAAAGGCTATCGTGGGTTAATTTAGTCAGAGCCTCTTTAGAAAGTTACTAATTAATGCAACTCCTCTCAAAAAGACCCACCTTAATTTTAATTACAATAATTCATTATATATGTACTACAAACCTGTCTAACATGTATATATTTGTAAAATCTTCAATTAAGTTATACGGACTCCAGGATGATAATTTCTAGCAAGGTTTAGCGAGGGAAAAGAAAACACTCGATGGAATGAAAAGCAGATGATGTGTTTCCCTAAATTGAGAACGATCAACAAAACTAATTAAACGCAAGATTGGCACGTACACATTTGAGTAATTAATTAATTCTACAGTTAAGTTAGGACAAATGATGAAGAAAACATAAGTGGAGACCTTGACAAATTAGGATCTAGTAATAACTTGTGTGATGCTTCATTGATAACCTACTCATCACCAAGAGAAAACTTATCTGGCTATGCTTTGTCCCGAGGGAAACTCACCAATGTCTTACCAAATTTAGTCAAGCTAACTCCTTTCCCAAATTAATTACGAACCTTTTTCAAGAACCATTTACAATACACTATCTTGGGTTGGAAAAGGGCTACTCAAATTTTATTTAGGGAAATACCGAACATTACAAAACGAATTAGACTAAACAATTGCAACAACGTGGCTTGATTTCTCTATTAATTTCCTAATTTTCATTCATCTTTTAAATTATTATTTGATTTTGCTTAAGTTTGCACAAAGACACAAAAAAACTTATATATGGTAAGTTTTTATTAAAAATAATAAAATATCATAAAATTTAATACATTAGTGACGTCAATTGTTGTAAATTTGAATAAAAAATTTATTTTTTATTTCTTAATATACATTCTTAAACACAGGTTAGAAAAATTAATTATTATTTAAACATTAATTTATGACTTTTTCGTATTGAACATCTTAAGCGCTCATTTACTATTATGTAATACTTTCTCTGTTTTTTTCCTAATATTTTAACAATTTTATTTTGTTCAAATTTTATTTTCATTTTCTAACATTAATAAATAATTTTTTTATTTTATCTTTAATAATTAATTTTTTATAAAAATAATAAATGAATGAGATAATTATTAAAAAATAAATAGAAGGTGTAATAAATTTTTTTTTATAAAATTAGAATATCAATCATATTCTTAATTTGATACAAAATATTAAATAGCTTATCGTTGGTAATCGTATGGCTACGTGAAATTGTTGAGGGCACCTCAGTAAGTGTCAATCGCAGGCCGACAAAGTAGTTTGAATTTCCCAACTATTGACCGACCATTACCTTTGGCCCAAAGTGCTACCAATTGAGTGAACATTGGAATTCTTTTACCAAAAAACTAAGTGAACTTTGAGTTCGACGGGCTATGATTTCAGGATAACCTATCTTTCAAATTCTTGACAAGAAGAAGAAGAAGAAGAAATAACTTGCTTACGCCGGTTAAATGTATCATTGAAAATAAGTATTTTTCAAAAGTTTATCCTAAAATTTACAAAAAACAGTTTCAAATAAAATAATAAGAAAATTTATCTTTTAGAAAATTATTTTTATCAAAACTTAGAGAGATAAAAGAATATTTTTAAAAAAGTTGTTTAAGTTTGCATAGGTTATGGTAAAAGAATATTGATTGTTTATAAGTTTTGAGACAGGTTGAGTAAGTCGTCAAGAGAATATACTGTAAATGTGAAGAACTTATGCAAAAGAATATTTGTATTGTTAATTGCTAATAAAGAACAAAATTCTGTTTAGTAGAGGAGCTCAATTTAGTTTCTAATGTTTAGATGTATTTTTTTCAACTCTTTTATGAGACTATATCAAATGATATCTCTAATAATATTTTATTAAAATTTAATTTTATCATTTCAATAGTTAAATTTAAAGTTTTTTTTATAAATTTTTAAAAAAATTTCTAAATTCATATTTTTAAGTTTTTAAAATTGGAGAATTTTTTTCCCCCTTCAAACTCTTAATTCCTCTCTTCCTCCAGTCTCCAGACTCTTTCATTCTTCAAACTCTTGTTTAAGAGATCTAATCTAGTCCAGAACTAGATCAATTCGTACCCTATTATATGTGGTTATAATATAATTAGTTAGCCATAAATAGGAGTAAAGGGTGATTCAATGAAATTAAGAATTGCCTGACCTGACAAGAACTCTATGGCCTCGTAATTAGTAGGAGTTGCTGCATAGATGATGAATGTTACTTTATTTGGTATTAATGTTCTCACTTTTATGAATTACTTTATGTTGTTTCAAGCTTCTAAAAAAAGATAACTTTCCAAACAAAATATAGTTTTGATAAATATCTTTTGAAAGCGTTATTTCTGTTGTGAATAATTCATATGGTTGTTAGTTAGTTAAGGTTCAGTTGTAAACTAATTATTTATTCATTCACTAGTATATAAGGACTAGTTTATTCATATTAAATAAAAAGTCTTTTTACTCTTTTTCTTTTTTTATATTTTTTGTTTTTTAATTATCTGAGTGTCTGTCTGTAAAATATTAGAGAACTTAAAGTTTTCACAATTTTTAATGAAATCTTTTTAGAATTTAAAGTACTCAATATCTTTTCAAAATATGTGATATAAAAAAGCTTTTGAAGATTTGTTTCGTTGAATACCTTCTTCAATTTTTGCAATAATTTAAAATTTGTACTTTAATTTATATAATCTGATTTATATTTCCTCTCTTTAAAAGATTTATTTTGTAGTTCAAAAGATTAACTTGTTATTTTAAACCTATAAAATTTACTTTCTAGATTTGCTATCTTCTTAACTTCTTTTTCTAAACCAAGTATATATTTGAGTAGAAATAAAAAGTATGAACATTTTCATGTTTGAAAGTTTAGTAGCTATAATTTAACCGTCTTTCTTGTAACTCTTTAGTCTTCACATTTTCTTTCTTTTTATTTTTAGATTTTTTTTTTCCCTTTGAATTTTGATACAAAAAGCTTTTTCTCGTGTCTCTTAAAATCACTCACTTTACTCTTTCACAACCTTCCCTTAACCATGCACGTACAACTTTTGAATCTAATTTTAGGGTTAAGGTCTTTGTTGAATTTGAGAATGACAAAATGTTCAAGAAAATCATGAAAGGTGAGCTCAAGATACAATAAAATATAACTAGTTACACGGTAGTTGTTCAATATAATTTTTTCATTAATCAATACTATCTTGATAAACCAATCAAAGTCATTCAACATAAAAATTAATGATCAAAATTTCGTTGAAGAAAGACTGATAAAGATTCTGATATAGAGGATTTTTTTTTTCCAGCATATGCTAGAAAAGGCAACAATCTGTTGAAGACAATTTTTATCGTCAAGTATTCAGAGATTTGAGATGGCATGCCAATTCAGCGTCCATAAGTGTAGAATGGCAACAAAGAAATGAGTATTAAGACAATTATTTTTGCCACATTGGTCCGCAAAACAAGAGCTATCCAAACCGGTGAAGGAAAAGCCACGAATGATATCAAAATCGGTGTTATTGCCTTCTCCATACCGATCAGCAAGAAACAAAGAAAATATATTTATGAAAAATATATTGACCAAGTCAGAAGAAACATTATCTTCGTCCTGGCTAGCGTTTTCCTCGAATCAAAAGTATGACAAACAAAATTATTGACCTCTACTCGTCCATTTTTTTCGTTTTTAATTACATTTTTTTATTTTTTTCATACATTTGTAAATAAACGGAAAAATTATAAATAATTATTATTAACTGCACTTTTGTATTTTTTTTTACATTTTATTACTAACAAGGCAATTTTGAATAAAAGTTCATAATTTCATTTTGTCATAGAAAAAGGGAAATAAAAATGGATTAAACCATCCCACCCGGTTGCAGGTGACCTTGGCTTTAACGTAACAATGTCACATTATTAAAGGCGAATTACCAGTGCGCACCAGAACTACAACTTAGAGACTTCTTTTACTCTTTTTAACAAAATATAAGATGCAAATAGGAAACTGTTCCATCCAGTAAACGACGTGTCGTCAACTTCATCCGTTCGTTATCGGCAACGGCAATTACCAAGTCGGCAAGGTAGCGTAGGTGGAAATCTACATGCCACAACGAAAAACATTTTTTTTAAAAATTATTTACACATATTAAAAGAGATAATTGCAAATTCGCAACGAAAAAAGCAAAATTCTCCCCTCAACCTCTAAGAATCATAAATATCAAGATTATATTATGATGTGTTTAAAAAAATAAAATTTAAATTTTATTTCATTAAAATTATTTTATAAATTTGATAATAAAATATATTAAAATAAATTACAAAAAGCTATAAGAGTCAAACTATTTTCATAAATTTAGATAATTTTTTATAAGCTTTTTGAAACATCCTTTAATCTTTAAACAATAAAATCAAATTATTGTATCGTTGTAATCTCAATATTAGTGTGTTTATTGCTAAAACTCAGATGAATTTGAAAATATCTATATCTACTGTTCATTCTAAGTCACAATTAAACTCTGACACGAAAATAAATTATTTATATCCTAATAATAAGAAGAAAAAAAAAGAAATTGTGAGTTATTTTGAAGTAACAAGGTTGTCTGAAAAAGTGGAAGCAAGAAGGAAAATTAGCAGGGGGCAAGGCAAGTCTGGGGACGAGACGACATTAAAGAGAACATTTAGAGTGTGTAGAGGGAGCGTTGGGTTGGCATTTAAAGCTGATAAGCCTAACAAAGGCTTAGCTCACAGAGAAGCTTGCTGTAAATTGTATTGTATGGCCCCTCTTTCATTTAACCATTTACCATCATCATCAACTTCAATCTAATCTCATCTCTCTCTATCCAATATTGGTTGTGCCATTCACCGCTCATCATCATCATATTCATGGCAAACGACGCCGCTCTCAGAGCCTCTCTGCTTTGGCTGGCAGCACTTATATTGGCGGTTGGCATATTCACCCACTCTTTCAAGAAGATGATGACAACCTATGTGTTGGGGGTTCTAGGGATTGCTGGTGTCCTTCTACCTGATTGGGATTACTTCAACCGTGATTTCTCTCGTTGGCCTTATCCTGTTACCGCTGAGGAAAGAGCAGCTTTTTCTCTAATTCATGCCCAAGGATCTGGATTTATGAGGTACCCCCTCTTTTCTCTACTCTTTTTCATTTCTTGTTTCTTACTTACTTAAGAACACTTTCACTTTTGAAGAGATCTAATCTAGTCCAGAACTAGATCAATTCGTACCCTATTATATGTGGTTATAATATAATTGGTTAGCCATAAATAGGAGTAAAGGGTGATTCAATGAAATTAAGAATTGCCTGACCTGCAAGAACTCTATGGCCTCGTAATTAGTAGGAGTTGCTGCATAGATGATGAATGTTACTTTATTAGAAATTTCTTTGTCTGATACAGGTTTGCGAATTCTCCAATAAGGGTGATTGCTTATAGCGTGGTTTATGGATATGCTATGTACAAATGGTGGGAGTATGTATCGGGCTAATGATTAACGTGTTTAGTAGCAGCACCAATTGCTGATTCTTCTGAACCCCAATTTCAGCTGTACGTTTAATTTTTTATTTTTTTTTGTTGATTTAATTTGTCTCATTTGGAGGAATCCATAAACCGTGCTAGTGACTGCCAAAGAGGTTTCTTCGTTTTTTTTCTGCGGAGTAGAAAATCAAAAGGATAACCAAAATGAGTTCATCCCCCTTTTCATCTTTATAAGGTTAAGGAGTCCTCCCTATAATCCCAAAAATAAAGCTATATATGATAAATGATAATGGTTCCTTTAATTCAATTAGTGCCAATGTTAGAGAGCATGCATGGCACAGACTTATCTCCCAAATTTGCTAGACAGAGAGTTTTTCTTCGGGGCATGCCTTGGTCAACTATCTCACTTTTCTAATTGACCATCTGCTTACAGCAAAATGTTTTCCTGCGGTTTGAAGATTATATATTTTAACCCTCAAAAAAAATATTACATGTTTGTATTTATTTGGCATAAACTGAAGGATATGGCAAGGTGTTAAACAGTTCATTTATGAGGTACAACTTAGGCTACATAAGTAAGTTGCTTGTGGTATAAATTGCCTTACTTCTCGTTTGGTTCATGGATGAGGTTTTCTTGAAAATGTCAAAAACTAATTTTTATTTTTTTACGGGCTAGTGTGTTAGTGGGTGTGAACAGACAAGCTCAATCTGTTAAACTGCAAGTTTTGCAAATCAATCTATCCAAACTTATCATTACACGAATTATTCATTTTTTACATCCAAACCTATAATTTTAGGATTTTGCGGACTCACTTGTACACCAAAATCTTTGTATCCAACTCTCTGAGTAGTGACACAATTTGTGTCCGACGTTTCCTAAGTTTGAGGATGCAAAGTGTAAAAGCAATTTCAGTTTTAAATAATACTTCCTTTACACTTTTTTTTACATTACTCATACATCTTATCTTTTCTCACATCCTTCAGCATAAAATATAGTGTTAAAATAAGTTTTTAAAACGCTATTATTTTTTAGTTTATGATAGGAATCTTTTAATATTTTTTTAGAAAACTTTAACTGTTTCCACATAAATGAGTCGTATTGTAAATCATAACGAGACATATAATACAATAAGAAAAATAGACATAATGAAATGTATGAGGTGAGTGTATAAAAAAAATAATGTGAAAAGAGATTTATTTTTTCATTTTTAAAGGATAATTTGATTTTTCATTTAAATTTGGAGAAAAACTTTAAAAAATTTATTTAGTAAAAAAAAATTTAAAAATAAAATAAGCACATCTAAACATTTAAAAATAAAGGGTTTTTTGTCCCCTAAGGTTAGTTTTAATTTAATTCTCTAAATTGTTTAGTTCAATTTAGCTCTTTAAATTATTTTCTTATATATGTTATCGTTTTCTTTTAACCTCTTTTATTTAATTTACCTATCTAATTTATTTTTCATATTAATTTTATTTCGCTAACTTTCTGTCATCTTTCAACTCAATAGACCTATTCAGCACAGTATTTTGGACTAAGGTTTCTTCTTCTTCATCTTTGCTTTTCGTTGCTGTCAACATTCTTCCCAGTGTTCTTCCCCTTTCTTTATGTGACCATCGTAGAGGACCAAGCCAAGGGGTATGGCTTGGTGTTTGGTGCTATGCACGCTCTACTTGTGCCTAGTTTTTATTGGCAAAGGTTGTGGATGAGGATTGAGGGTCATGGAGTGTTGCTGGTTTAAGGGTGCTATTTTCTTAGGAGATCCAAAAGATGTATTGGGGCATGATGTGGATGTGAGAATTAGATATTTGATCAATCATGTTAATTTTATGATAGTTGTTATGTGCTTAAAGAAAAAATAAAACAACGATAGAGTGGCAAGATGGGCAATTTAGGCAGCTATGATCAGTTCATTGTGGTTATAGTTGATATGAAAGTGTGGTGGTAGAGTCACATGGCGCATAGAGCGTGGTTGATGGAATTTTGACTATGGTTGGCTGCGAAACAAGGAGGTAGTTTTGTGGCAATTTCATAGTTTCAGCTGGTGGTACGATGATAAAGTGTAGAGGAAGATTAGACCTTACTAAAAAATTGTTTGTCATTTTGAACTTAATTAATATTAAACATCACCCAGAAAAGCATAGTGATAGAAGAAAATATTATTTGTTATTAATATATATTTATAATTTTTTTATTAAATAAATATTATATTAAAAAAATAATAATTTAAGCGTCAAACTGCAACTATATATATCACTTTTTGTTTTTAGCGGTGAAGTCATTTACAAAGCAATAATGCCATTATTATAAGAAGGCAAGTACAAGAGTTGATAAATTAGGAGAGCGTGGGCCTATGATTTAAGTCTCTATTAGGTTAGATATATATTTTAAAATAAAATAGGTTAAAATTTTTATAAAAGAATGTTTAACTAAAAAAGTAAACTTAATAGATCGACTTATTTAAACAATAATAATAAATTAATAATATTTTTAAATTATATATTTATATTCTTTAAAAATTTTAATTTGTTAATTTTATTTGAGTATTTTTTGTTAATTTTTCAAAATAAAATACACTTCTAATTAAATAAATTTACATATTAAAATCGACTTTTAAAAAATTAAATGAAATATCAAAAAAATACCAAATATATATCAATATATTACTCTTTACCAAAAAAATATCGTATATAAAATAAATAAACTAAATTAAAATATTAAATTAATTTAAAAATCAGATTAAATATAATTTTACAAAACTTAACCCTATTTCTACCTCTTATTTGCTATATAGTTGCTACTCATAGAAAAGAAGGAAAAAGAAATAGTCAGCACGTTGATATGTATATGCCAGTTATGTTAGTTGATTTTCTATTGCCGTGATCAGTGTAAGTGTTACTTTGTTGTCATCACATCCACCCACATGAGGAAGAACGGTGAGTCAGTGAAACTGTGAAGGGAATATTCTGTTCTAATATTGTTTTATTGACTTGACAAAAAGCTGGGAATGAAGTTAGCTAAATTGGTATTTTATTTATGCCCAAAACTTTTTGCTTAACGAAGAAGATATGTTTTCGGCCAGACCAATCATTTTGATTTGAGCAAAAGAAAAATAGATTTTACAGACATATCACCTCCTTGTCACCGTCAACCTCCCATGCTAGCTCTACAAGAATCAATGGATTGCATTAGATCTATTTTTCTTGGGCTCGCCGAAAAAATGCTATCAGTAACATATATAGTAGGACAAAGAGGGCACTGTTGTTGAAAAAGGTTACAGAAAGAGTGGTGACTGCTAACAAGCAATATGCTGTCGTCCAACATCTTGGCACCAATAACGGGTTTTCACTGTATGGAGAGTCAAATTAAGGGTATTTCTAATATGTTTCTTCACCAGGACATGGTCCGAAATTCTTCATTAATCTAATTAGTGGCTTTTAGTGCCACCCGTTTACTCTGTAATAAAAATTGCTGCAGGTTTTTCAGACTTACGTTGAGGTGTGTTTGGGTATGAAAGGTCTCTGATGATAAGGAAATCACCCTTTGAGTTGACATATTTAAGTTTGAACCAAATTTTCAAAACACACATTTTTCTGCCCCACTTTCTCCGGCGAGAATGATATTTATTTTAAAGAATGGAGATCATTTATATATTTTTTAAATTTGATATTTTTAAAATAAAAAATTAACATAAACTTATTTTTTTAATCTTTTATATATTTTGTAACCATTATACGATTATCTTGATTTAAAAGCAAAAAACTGTTCTTTTTTTGTTCTTTTAAAACTTCCCTCTTGTTTATACACATAAAAAAATCACTCTAAAATATTAAGGACTAGTTAGTTTTAGAAGTAGTTTCTGTTTTTATTTTAATTGTAATTTTTAATTACAAATTTTCACTTTATTTTTATTTTATTTTCTCTATAAATCTTTAAAAATAAGTAAATATTTTATAATTATTAATAAAACATCTCAAATTAAATCGGGTCTTACACTGTTGGATGTGCAAGCTCAACTACTCAACTTTGACACATGTCATGTAAACCATTAATTTTTAAACCAATTATTATATCTTTACATTTTACCTTCTAAAATATATTTCAAAACAAAGAGAAAAAAAAAATACCAAAGTATAACTTCTTCCATTAAAACCTTTTTCTCGTACACAAACAAAAAGTGAATTCTAATGAACATGCTTAAGTGGCCTTAATATGTAACTATAGAATTGTTGGTTATACTTAAATCGAAAGCATTTGCTTGAAGAAACAACTAATAACATAGCACGAGTGCCCTGGAATTTAAAATCACATAGCAACTTTTAAAATATTTATAACTTAATGTCAACATTTTTTTTACCGGGGTACATTCATTGCTGGATGTTTTACCCAACTCATCGTCCTGCCCACAGAGGATGTGCTGGATTGTCGATTGAAAGTGAATAAAATGCTAAGATTTACTGCATACATACTTCTTCCACCGATTTATTTTATTTTATTTCTTTAAGGACAGATTTCATCTTGATTTTCTTTCAAACAAAGCACATAGTTGATTTTGATTAATTTACCTGAAAGAGGTGCCGAGGCTAAAAGCTCTCTCGGACATTTTAGCGATTAGCTTTTGTGCTTATCTGTTATGGAACCACAAAGAAGTAGGAGATTTCCTTTTACCTGATTTGACTAAAACTTTTTCTCTCTTTGATCAAAATTCAAAAGCCCAAAATCACGTGTGCTCACAAGCAGATGATCGTAAGGTGCAATGCAAGCAATGCCCAAGAATAATGGATATGCTACGTTACATGTTACAACCTAAAGTAAATGGACTTCTGATTGTACACCCCATGGTAATAGTTAAGACTAAGTGACAGATGGGGAAAAAAGTTAACAAAACTGTGTAAACCTAATAAGAATAGTAATCAAGATCTGGCATGTTTGCACATTTGAAGCCTGGGTATATTGACTGTAAAGTCATTCCAAAAATTTTCTATTGGTGATACAAGTGACAAGGATAGAGGGATTAGTTGTACGGAATTGCAGACCTGAAATTGTGCTTTCACCCTCAAAGGCAGAAATCAAATATGATTGCCAATTTAAGTTGAATGTCACCGTTCAGCAACTATTTTAGCTGCTCGCCTATAAATGAGGCTACAGCTTTTTATCAGTATATACCTGAGAATCTATTCATTGCCTACTCCACTTTGAGAACAATCTTCATGAACTCGTAGACAAAGTAACTTATTGAAGCTGAAGGAAGTACCTGAACATGGGAAATTGAAACGCAAAATTTATTTAAACTTTCATGATCAATTAAAAAAATCTTAACCAGTATGGAGCTGAAAAAGAAAAAATTTGCAGGAGAATAGTTATAATTTATAAAACTATATGAAAATAATGAAAACAAACATCTATCAAAAGTCTAAATCTAACCCGGAAGAAGACAACCTTAAAACAGCATAGAATTTTCGTTATGGTCCCTAATCGACACCTTTATGATAAACAGATAAAAACATTTTCTTGTTCTGGCACATATAACTGACATCATGGAATATTACAGGGGCAAATAATCCTAATAGGAATGCTCAAAACATTTGATAAACAAGACATTGCTTTGTTGATAGAATTAGAGAAGAACCATCGAGAAGCAAAGCCAGCTTGTAATCACCATGTGGTGTAATGTTAAATGAAATTTAGATCATGTGACTAAACAAAAATGTCACCATCTACGACCCATAACCTTTATCAATATTCTCCACCCTAGAAAACATAAGTTATTCTAATCTAGTTAATCATCAATATGAATGGATTGGTAACCATAAAAGTATATCCTGATTCCTCAGGAAGTTCAGAAAAATATAATTAGGGCATGCCAAGAAGCAAAGTATTTAAATACCTGTAGTAAGCTGGGAATAAGTCCTGCATACAGAGCTGGAATGCCTCCATGTTCAACTATTTTGACAAAAGTTGCTAAAGAACTTAATTTAGTAGACTGGACTTGCAATTGAAGCTGCCTCCTAACCACTTCAAAGGGGTATGTAGCAGCTTCTGCACATGCACCAGCAATAGCCCCGTTTAACAATGTCCTTACTGGCCCCAATTCAAGCTGATCAAAGGCACTCAGTTCCTGCCCCTGTTTATGCATATTCTGAATTCTCTTCATTCCTTCCGGTGAATGCAGATAAGCTGATTTCAAGATATCATATACACCATAAAAAACTGCACCGGAAGGAGCCATACTAATAATTGATGGTACTAAACCCTTGTAAAGAGAAAAGAATCCTTCAGTTCGAATCATGTATTGAAAGGCACCAATTACCCCGCCCAAAGCTTCTCCACCTGGTGCCACCAGCTTGGTCCGGATCTGTAAAGAACCACGCGGTAAATTTTTCCAAGTGATTACACTGCAAAATAGCTAATGTTTATGCTTTTGTTTTTAGCCATAGAACCTAATTTTTTTTATGTGATTCAGGTATTCAAACTGAGTGAAAAAAAAACATACACAAACAAACCATTTAACAGCATGTTGCGCCATTTTCCTACAAGTTAGACTTAGAAATAGAACACGTGCCATTAAAAAATCATTTGGAAAGGGATAAGAAACAGATTTGGATCCTCTCATTTCAGCTTCTAACATGACCTTGTATTTCTATATAGGAACCCATTGTGGTGTCTCTCTTATAAATGACATGGCCATGTTAGGACTTAGGAGCTAATCTGGAAGGACCCATGTGCAGATGCAGACATCTTAGGCCAATTAAACTCTTCTTTTTAATTTAATTTTATACGTAATAGAGAAAAATATATCCAGTTCAAATGTTTCCCTCACTGAAAAAGAAAGTTAAGAGCTTAATCAGTTGCTTTTCATTTGTTTACAGTTCACCCTAAGGCCTAGATACCAGACAGATGTTGAACACATACAACAAGAAGGTTGCTATTCAGTTCCCGAAATTGAGCCCATAGAAAACTATGAATTCCAAGACCCCTCAAGTCCAACATGAATGCATAATGGGCATATTTGTGCAGAGAAAATGAACGAAGAAATCATAATTAAAATTCCCACATTCCACATACAGTGTCAAGTGGCAAGCAAATAATGGTAGCAGTAATCCCAGCAGCAGCACCAGCAATAAACCTCTCAAAATTTGTAGTTTCCTCATTCCCAGAAAATCTGAGCAATTGCTTTCTATAGGTATCATAAGCACAAAAATTAACCGCTTTGAATGGAGCCGTTCGCAGGATATTCACAAGGTTCCCTTTCCAAAACCCTCTCAAACCTTGAGAAGCGGCAATCCTTCTAATAAGCTCAAATATATTCTTCTTCTCACCACGAACTATGTACTCCAACTTAAGTCTTTCAAGTGGAGCAACACAAGTTCTGATAAACGCCACACAAATATTAATTACTACGCAAATCAATTTAATTTATCGGCAATCAAAATTAAAATTAGACAAAAATAATAATACCTAGAAACCATAGCAGCTATAGCACCAGCCCAGAGGTGCTTAGTGGTGTTAAGGGCATTGCCTCCTCGTACCCTAACCTTTCTCTGCTGAACAAGGCCGTCCGAGTCCGACACGTGGTCACCATTTTGCAGCACGTGCGCCTTGGGTTCGGCAACGAGTTTAGCACTCGGCAAACTCACCGATAAGAAACACCCCGGCAAAACCCTCCTCCGTCGGCGGTGAAGATTTGAATCGGAAAAAGCAGTGGGAGGAATCTGCAACGAAATGAGGCGAACAAAGGAATCGGGGATTTTGGGGTCGAGAAACAACCCTCCAGAGAAGGAACCGAAATCCGAAGTGGGATTGAAGAAAATGAGAGGAGAATGTGAATCTTGTTTATGGCAGAGGTCCCTTCCCGGCATTGCCATTTTCAGAGTAAAAGGATATTTACACTTTCTTACATTATTTATTTATTTTATTTATTATTGAGAATCGAAATTTAATGCTAGATTCCGAGGTTGCCTCTTGGTGGCGGTGGCAGTAATAAGAGAGTGAATTCCACCTGCACAAGGAAAGAAATTTTAACGTTATCCCTTTATCTCCTCCTTCCTCAACCCTTTGCTCTTTCGGTTGGGATAAGAGCATGGAAAAAGAAAAATAATCAAACGGTTACTTAAAGGGGAGTGTAGAAGTAGGACTCCTACTGGGGTACATGCATCTGCAAGATCAAAAGGTTTTACAACTGTTAGTTTCAAAGTTTTTGCAAGATTAAGGAAAAAATGGTGTTAAAAAAGATAACTAGTGTGATATGAAAAATTTTAAAAATTATTTACACAAAAGTTTATTATAAAAATTTACTATAAAATATTATCATATATTAACCTAGTTTAATCCACCAATTGGGTGCCTCGTGATTTGATTGCTAAATACAAAAAAAAAAAAAAAACTAGAATGTACCATTATCACTTAATAGAATGAAAAAATGTTTAGAATTTTAAAAAGAAATATAACAAAAAAAGTATGATTATCACTTATAAAATGTGTTAAGATTTTAGTAATAAATGTTAAAAAAATTAATAAAAATAATTGTGCATAAGTACCCATATCTCGGCTTTACAAACAAATTAGGTAAGTTGGGTTAAACAATTTCAAGATATTTGTGAATTATTTTATTTTAACCTGATAATCCATGGTAAACTAACTTAGAAGTTTAGTCTGTTTGGCAATTAATTTAATATCAACTTGTTCATATATGACAATTTTTTAAAGTCTTTTAATCTTCTAATACAACTGTTTTTAGTGCAAAATTTTATCAACTGAGTTAGAGAATTATATACTATAGAACTTTTTTATATATAAAAATGAGTGACATCAATCTATTTAACAACTAATCTACATGTTTTTTTTTTCTAATAATAATCTACATGTTTGATTGTTATTAAGTTAGCAAGTTGTATATTATAAAAGTTGGGATTAGTTTTATAATAATTAACCTTAATAAAAATAACTTAATATTTTAAATAAAAATAAGATAAATTTTATAAATCTTAAGAAAATATACATATAATTAAAAATAAAAATATGTCAGATTGTCGAACACAGCTTAGTCTTTTTAAAGTTTAACTCAATTTAATTTATTTAATTAATAAATTTAATTTAAATTTTTAAACAATTTAATTAAATAAATAAATCAAATTTAAGAAAAAATTTACTAAATCTATTAAAATAATTTATTTAAAATTTATAAAACTTTTAATAGTATATTAAATAGTTTTATATAAAAATTATAATATAATAATATATTAAATAATTTAATTCTTCAATATGAATATAATATATAATAAAAAATTGTATATTATAATTTTTAATTAATTTTTTTGTGTGTCTTTGTGCATACGGTAAAAAAAAATATTTTAATAAATTAACAGGGTTAAAGGCTGGTATCAAGATTTTCTATTTGGTACCTACCTAATAAATATGTAAAAATAATCATATCCAATAATTTATCAAAACAAATAACGTCATCCACTTATAAAAATAGAAAGAAAAAAAAAAAACCAACACTGAAAAATAGTTTTGCACGAGTTGTTTTACTACCGAACTACCGGTGTTAATATCTTATACCTAGATTTTTAAGAAAAACATAATATTTCAAGTGTCTTTGTCTTATTAATTAGTTGTATCCTTTCTACTATCTTTCTACCCAACGCATTAACGAGTTTTTATTTTACTTGAAGTTTTTCTTCAGAAAACTTATCTAATTAATTATTTTGTCCCTTGATGTGACAGATAAATCATTGTCTTTCTTCTTTTCATTTTCCTTCAAAAAATATATCTAGGTCACATTTAAATAAATAATTTATTTAAACATTTAACTACAAATTTTTAAATAAGATAATTTTGACTATTAACAAATATTATAAATATTTTATTACTATTTGTATTTTAAGTTATTAATCTTGTTTTACTTAAGTCAAATATTACTCTAAACTAAAATGTAGAGCTGACAAATTGCTAACCTCTATCCATTTAGTCTTGACTTATGTGAGCTAAGGATTAGAAGTTCATAAAGTAAATAGGTCTCAATTTAAAAAGTTTATAGAGTTAAAAGATTCATAGGCCCAATAAATTAGGGTTAGCCATGAATAAGTTTATTTTAAAAAAAATATTATTTGATTCACTTTTTAAATAAATTGATTATAAGCTCTTTAACTTATTTTATGGAAGTTAGCTCACGAGTTCTTTTAAATTCATTTCCATATAGAATCTGTTACAGAAGACTATTAGTTCTCTTATAATTCATTATAATAAATGTAAGTGACATTCAAAAAAATTTCAAAACATCAAGGACAAGGTTTTCATGCTTCCAATGACATCAAGGAAGAACAACTCATTAAAAAAAATATTATTTGCAACACAACATTAGATGAAAAAGCAAATAAAATCAAAACACAGTGTGAAATAGGGAGATAATAGAAAGACTTACTAATTTGGGGTTGGATTTTTTAATATGATTCAAATAATAAAGAGTTACAATACGTTATCAATAATTAAGCTTCAACCATCCATATTTTAACCCACTTTTTTATGAGTTGTATGAGTTAGAATTAAACAACCCTATTATAAAAATCACATATAAAAAATAGAGTTAATTATAAAATTTTAGGGATTAATGTATTGATTTTAATGTTATTTCATAACTCTTCTAAAATGTCTCTTTTTGTTTGTAATATAAAGCCTCTGCAAGTTAAAAAAGGGTTTAGAATCAAACTTTTTTGAATTTTAGTGGGAAAGATACTTTTATGTAATTGATATATAATTGTATATACCTACTATCTTAAGTGACCTATTGGCAAAATGTAGAAACTCAAAGTTGGGAGATAAAATTACAAGAGGAAATTCACATGAAGCTCATTGATCATCTCTTTTTGGCAAATCTCATGATTTTGCTCCATATATATATGAACTTCAATCCCAATAAAAGGTGTGACTAGTTTTCTTGCATGCTTTAATTATCTCTGATATTTGGAGCAACTTTTTGGATTTTTTTTTTCCTTCATATTTTAACTCGGAGCTCATTACTTTTTTTTAAATGTACTTGGTGTTCATCGTTGAATCATGGCATAGTTAGCAAATAGCAACAACGGCTGTTGAGTGACTAGGGTGTAAAACTATAATATACTGTGAGTTTGGTTTATGTGTTCTAAGAAACTAATTGACATCAAATATAAAAAGCATAATTGTTAAAATCGAGTTTTAATTCGTAAAATCGGATGATTTTACGAGTTTAGGTGCCAAAATCAGTTAAGCTTGTAAACTCGTGTCTTGATAAATCCAGTTGAAATCGTGTAAACCTGCATAAACTCGCCAGTTCACTATCGAGTTTATGATTTTGATTCTTCAATTTAAAAGCCCCATTGCGTTTCAATTCAATGTTGTTAGGGTTAAATTTCTTCTTCTGAAATTTTCCAGCCAAATTCCAACAACGACGTTTACGAATAGATCTGAACAGAGACCTGACAACATCCAAAAAAAAAAAAACTGAGCAACAACAATTTCTTGCAGTGAACAGAGTCTTTGTGCGACGACGTTGTGTGACCTTCAAGCTTTGACGACATCTCATGCGAATAGGACAACTCAATGACTCCATTTGAAGTCTAAGCTTCGGCAACGTTATGCAAACAGAGAGCTTCTTGCAATGGTAAAGAGGACCACATTCGAGCTCCAAATTGCAGCAACTTTGTGTAAATGGGGACACCCTCCAGTAGAGACGACTCTTTGCCAAACAGAGACTTCCTCCGACTTGGTGCAAATGGAGACCCTCTTCCTCTGATTACTTTGCCATTGTATGATTTTACAGTTTGAGAGTGTATTTTAACTTTGTTATTATGTTTTATTTTATTATTATGAATTTTTAATATTATCTTTGTATGAGGAAACTTATATGAGTTCATGAGCTGAATTTACGGGCACTTTATGAGTTTATTTAAACTCTTGAATTTAACAACTATGATAACAAAGACAGCATTTTTCTTACAAATTTCAGAAAAGAGGAAATAAACTGAAAAATAACTCATCACTTGTGTACTAGTGAAATCATACTGTAAAATTGAAAATGAAAGCAAAATATAGACCAAACTAAACGTAACTTAGTATACGGCAATTCCAGGCCATAATTATGTCATCAAACACATTACATTCTAATGGATAGCAACATTTAAAAACACGCACACAACTACATTGATATAAGAACCGTCCCGAAAGTAAGAGATATGCTACAGCCGACACATAAATTGGTAAGTACTAATATGGGGATGACGTTGCTGCAGAGTAAGTATCTTACCATTGATTTCAGGTCACACATTTGCGTCGAACTACCGTAAGGTCAAAGGAAAATCTCAACTACGGCAAAAGCTTATCTATACTGTTCGTAGATCGCCTCTTACGATGAAACATTTAATAAATGCAGCTGACATGGTAGTTCCAGAAACCAGGAGTTTGTGAATTGTATGCCATAGAAATATGGTATTTAGTTTTTTTATTGAGCAAAGAACGTAAATGACCATACGCTACACTTGAACATCCATTGTGTAATGCATTCAATGAGACTTGGTACGTGCTTCTAACCTCGATTTGAATTTGAATTAGATAAGTTCAACTCACTTCATATTAGCACAATATTTAAAACATGTTTTTATTGAAAATAAATTATTATATTAAAAAATACCAAAGTGTAATAGTTTTTATTTTTAATAAAATAATAATATTATTAGTGGTTTAATTTCAATCATACGATTGAAGTTAATATTTTTCTTAAAGATGAAATATGGATGCAGTTCCCTAAGTATATTCGGTATTGTTTATTGATTAAAATTATAAATTTATTTTAAAAACTTGCAACACAATAAAGGTAAATTTTTTTTACCAAAATCAAATTTTAAATTTGATTGATAAATAATACTGTGAATATCTAAAAAGCTACGTTTAAAAGTTTTTTTTCTATTTAAATTAAAGATAGATGAGAAAAAATTATCATTCTGAAAAATAGAGCTGACAGAATAGACTTGTCCAAATTTTAGAGTTTAAACTTTAAATTTTGAGTACTTTAGTTTGATACGATGAGCCTTTACTTATTTTAAACACCATTTTTTGTAAGTATACATTATATTTGGACTTTTTTTTTACCCAATTCCTACTAAAGCTAATTATCCTCCGTGGACTTGAATAGGTTGGGTAGCTGTTTTGTACCAAAAGAGATAAAAGATACATATTTTGTGAAATTTAAATTATATATGTCATTTTCTCTTTGAATAAATCATTGTGGGAATCATAAAACGTACGTATTTGTTCTCTTTCCTATTTATCATAAAATGTACGTATTAGTAGATGTATGTTTACCTTTTCACTCCAGGGAAAGCAAATCTCATACAATTAATGTGGATAGAAACGTATTACAGACATAAGCTAATTAATGTAATAAACCATTGGACTTTAGATAACGGTTAGGGATTCATGTATTTAAAAGAACAATGTCATACCACTAGAAATTTAGACTAAATTTTCAATATAATTTGGTAATATTGAAGTTTGACAGTTATATAAGTTAAGGCACCGGGGACTACTAATCTATCTAGAATTTAATAATGATACTAACTTCTGCCCGTATGTTACATTTTTCTTATTCCTTTTTTAGATAAACAAAAAAAATTTATGGATAAATTTGAGTACAAGCGGTACTCTGTACAAAAGCAGCACATACAACGATGAGTTTTCCTTGAGAAGTAAAACAGCCCCACCCCTCAGTTCCGATTACAGCCCAAGGATTTTGTCACGAAACAAAATAAAAAATCAATGGTTTAACAGAAGCTTTTTGTATCCTATTATCTTTGTGAAGTATACAGCATGATCCTACCATTATAAGGCCATTATACAGTCGTTATTGTTTTTCTTTTTCAAACCTATTATTTGCCACCATTTTAGAATTGACAGATTTCTGCTTTCATTATAACTTGGAGTGATCGTCTTAGTTAATTTTAGAAGAATTAATTTTGCATTATATATGATGTTATTCATTCGGGTTTATCACTATTTCTCTTGAGTATTTTCCTTGCAGGAGCTCCCATTCCCTAAACGCATTGATTAGTTATTACTTCGTAGTTTTTTGAAGGAGCGAAGGGAACGAGAACACGTCTTAATTTTAAAAAAAATAAAAAAAATCAATTATTCTATAAGGTGAGTGAAAGAGAGATGAGGGACAAAAAAAACTCATCTGCTTCTATGTCACCTTTTCCCTCTTTGCTTAATCATTATTATAATATGCATGAAGACTATACGATGAAACTAACAACCTACGTTACACACGACCGTGGTTATTTGTTTGAGAACAGTGTTACCCTGCTGCATGTTGAAAATGACCCTCTTAAGGGAAACTCAATGATCGTGATTGGAAAAGAAAATAACAATAGTCAAATCGAACATTTTGTGCTGAAACTTGATGAAGCAAACTGTTAACGAATTTAGACCCATCATCCAGAAAAATATGTTGTGTTGGTTTCAAATACTGAAAGAATGTACCGAAATTCTGCTCTGGCAACATGGATTGTTTTTTTTAATGATGGTGAATACTATGTACATAGACAAATATGATTATGATACTAAGTTAGCTTCTACAGCTGTCACTTATTCTCATTCGTTCTAACAATCAAAGTACCATTTACCATTACGTAGAGCTAGATTAATCATCACCCCACTGTTTTGAACTTACAGTTATATATAAAGAAACTTAGGCTATTCAGGCGGGAAAAATAAAAGATAAACGTAAGATTGGTTGTGAAAATTTATGTAGTATTTGACGTTGCTTGCTAGCAGAAGAGACTGCACCTTCTCTTCAAGAATTTTGAAGGGCTCTGGTCTGGTGGGTGCATGAATTTGCAGTTAGGACATGAAGGAGATGACTTGCATAGCATCACCAACATGTGGCACCGCATGCACACCGTTGCAACCATCTCTTTGTAATCTCCCTCAGATGACAACCCCGTGGGAGAACGAATTGTACCATCCGAATCATTCTTACACTTGCTTGATTCAATAAACAGATCATCACGTTCACTCAAACCCCCAAGAGGGCCACTACTCTGCTTCTGATCACTTATATGATCATAAGTGTCTTCTTTTTTCCTCAGTGATTCACATGTCAAATTCAGCTCAAGGTCTAGGCTCATGTTATCAGAAGGGTCCTCTGTTGTTGTTCGACTCACCCTTGTGTTACATAACTGTATCTGCCCAGACTGTACATTAAATAAAAAAGATTAAAGATAAACAACAAGATCATTCCATAGTTGAAGCTTTCTAACAAGTTTTGACAGTATATAAACTATATATAATATAAATACCTGAATACTAAGGTATTGATGCCATTTATCTGAAGAAAACGGGGTCTCGGGGTGAAGCTCTATATCGAAGACGGGTTTCCTTTTCTTTAAACTAGCTTGATTGTTGAAGAATTCTTCAGCAAATGGGTCTTCCCATTTTCTCTTCTTTGATGATGCTTCAAATTCTGCATGAATTTCAGCTTTAGGACTCTCGGGCAACGCTATGTGAAAGGAGACCATAGTTTCAAAGAGTGGTTTAATCACCCTCAAAGCTTGGGTGTCTCTTGGTGATCAAATGTAGTATAAGACTGAGGTGTTTATATATAGGATAGGTATGCCTTGGACTTGCAAGTTATAGCTGCAAAACGAGAATCTAATTGTGGGCAATAACTTGAAGGTTCAAATACAAGGCCTTTGCTTACGTATAACGTGCTTTTCCCATGTTGGCTTCTTAATAACTGCACAACTTCAAGTCTGTACTTGACGTCTCATCTAAAAAAATGTGTTTAAGTAAAATTTACCAGATGATAACTTCGTCCACAATCCTAAAATGATATCAAGACTATTGACCAATCATATCGTTTTTTTTAATTGATCCATACCCCAGAAAAGAAAAAGAAAAAAATTCAAATTTTGGCACATAAGAGATAGAGGATATGTTGCGAAAACAAGTTATTCACATAAAATTAGCTGGTTTGTACTTTTATGAAAAAAAATATTAAACAAAGAATTATTTTAAAGTTTCGGTAATTTTAACTTTTAAGATTGAGTTGAAACGTCTAAAAATAGAAAATTTTTATTTTAAAAAATATATTTATTATATTAAAATATTGAAAATGTAACAAATGTTTTTATTAACAAAACATTATTACTTAAATTGAATGGTAAAGAGAAAGAAATAATTTTATTTTTTATAAACAACAAAGATCTTTAATATAAATGAAATGAAATGAATTGGGGTCGTCCTTGACATGACGTCCGTACTATAAAGAGAAGGCAAAAGACAGTTATGAAAGGCGGTGAGAAGTGGAGAAGGAGAGGTATGGCATAGTCATTAATGGTGTTAGTGTGTACAGTTGAAGGGAAGGTCTTGAATGGCAAGGGTTCTTTAATGTAAATAATAACTCCAACTTCCCCAATTGGGTCACTCAAAAAACTAAAAACATTAAAGCTCTCAACACCCTCTTCAGCCATTAAAACAAACCACGCTCATAGATGACCTATGCTATTAAACGCCCCAGAAGTAAGCTTTAAAGGCTCTCAACACCCTCCCCCATTAAACCAACCAAGTCCTATGAGTTGCCAAAAAAATAAACGCCAATTTATTGTTCCTTCTCTCTCTTAAATAAATCTTTTAAACAACCGCTCCCCATTTCCTTCCTCTCTTCACATCACCTGCATCATCCCCTTAGTCATATGCTCACTTCTTCCTATCAACTTCACAATTGTCTTTAATTACTTTCCTTCTATTAACATCAAAACAATTATACATGCAACTGAAAGGAGTAGCAAACGGATCCATTCATCATACTCAAATTTAAGAAAATGTTAACATTTGTCCTCAACAATTACTCCATCTGTCTTTTTTGTATAGTTTTTGCAATTTTTATAATAAGATGATTTATTATTTCATTAATTTATTTATTTTTAATACATAAAGTTAGTCAAAAATTAAATTAAAACAAATAAAAATGAATGTTGAGAGCAAATTTAAATTTAATAATATTAAATTACGATTTTAAAACAAATGTGTTGAATGGTCTACTGCATGGCTTATTAACTTCATGTAATACTAGTCTATCCTGTACTGCCCGTGAAAAATGGAAAAATATTTTTGAAATATTTAAATAGAAACATTTATAGGTGTCTCCTAGTGTTGAAAGATGTATTTTTAAAATGTATGTGTATAGAAGAAAATAAAAAATAATTAAAATATAGAAATATTTATATACAATAATCTTTTAAATTTTTTAACACTCTACTTTGTTCTATTATTTTTTATCGTTGTTTTATAAAACTAATGAACAATTAACATTTTTTAAGAATTTTACTATTAATAAAAAATATTTGTTTTGTAGAGAATAATAGATGAGTGAAATATTAATTACTGATTTATAAATGATGAGAATAGTTTATAATTCATAGGAAGTTAAATAATATATATATATATTTTTTTTTTATAAAACTTAGAATATTAATAATTCTTTTTCCTGTTAAAAGAATAAAATCAATCATTTTCTTAATTCTTATGAGAAATTTTAATCGTTAAGTAAAAAAAAAAGAAGAAACATTATACATTTTTAACTATTTAAGGACTGAACTAATAAAAAGTGATGACAAACCACTCTGATTCTCATTATCATATACCACACATTAAAGTAATTTGGCCATCGTAAACACTGAAATCAAATCCTTTCGAACAGTTAATCATTTCAATATAATCTTACAAAATCAAATCATTAATTCAAAAAAGGCAGATGTACGTAGATGTGACAAAACATGGAGGGTTTTCGCCGGGTTGTGCTTCTTATATCATATATGGAAAGAGTAAGGCTACGTTTGGCCGATTAGGTTTCCAGGGGAGTGTTCATCGCTTGATTTCATCAATTACAACTAAATTTGATGAGGTGCCCTAAATGGACTGCACTGCTAATTCAAATTCAATTGAAATTCGCTAGAAAATAAGCAAGGGCTTATTCGTTTATATTTTAGACATTGGATCAGCAAAATGAGTATCGAGATGACAAATATGCAGTATACATTATTAAAGAATGAAAAAACAATTGGCAAGGCTTTGAATGCTCAAGCTTATAGCAGCACAACGCAATTCAATTTGATAAAGTTTGCTAGTTGGTAAAAAGCGATTGGTGATCATTTTATCACACTGCAAGTGAATCGTGTATTTATTTTTCTCACTAAACGTCTCTGCTCTACTTCATGGGCTCAATAATGGCAAATGAAGTATTTCTACGAAAAATGTAGAGGGGTTAGAGATCAATTAAGAGAGTTCGTAGATGATTTTACAAGCTAAGTTAATTGACCTACAAAGCATGAAAGACAATAATAGAAAATAGCTTAGAAAATGGGACTAGGGAAAATTTGTCAGAGAACAAATACAATACTCCCATTTCATAAGTCTTGTTAATTAGCATTTTTTAAGATTTAATTAAAAATATAAATAAATCATTGTTAAAAAATATATTATCACATTTGTTTAATAAAAATATTCTTTTAATGTTTTAATCAGTATCTTAAAAATACTAATTAATATTAGTCATATTCCTTTTAAAAGAGTTAAAATATAGGATCTTGTCATGTTAAGAAATTGAAAATAGTAATTTTTTAATAAAATTTGTTAAACTGCATTAAAAATTATAGACAGTGTATTTATTATTTTTTAATAAAGAAATTACTTTTAATCTCTTAACTAGTGTCTTAAGAGCATTAATTATCATTTAGCTAAAATATAAGTAAATATTTAGGTAAAATACTAATAAATGAGAGAATTGTTAGAAAAAACTAATAGCTAGCTTTCTTAATTTTCTAACATGATAAATGAATACTTTAAAACCAATTGAAATACTTAAAATAACATATAATATGAGACAAAAGAAGAACAAACTAAAGAAAAAAAGGGGTCTCAACTACCAGGCCATTAAAGGCATTGAGAGATAGATGGAGGGGTTCAATTTCAAGTAAGTCTACCTGCCTTCATTAAACCACCTTGAATTCACTTAAATGCAGACTTCAACAGCGACCAAATTAAAACAACTCTGTTTTCTTGGTCATCTTTCTTCTTCATTCTCAACGACAGGTTTCTTCTGTTAAATGCCCCCAACCCACCTTGCCCTCCCTTCATTTAAGTTCCCTCTTCCTTCCTGTTCAATCACTTCCCACATACTAGAAACTGTCAGAATCTACATAGCTACCACAGTTCAAATTCTCCCTCATCTTTTCCCTTCCTCTTGCTTCTATATACCATTAACATAGTACGAAAGAAGCACTTAACTTATAAGTGTTTTCAACAAGAATTCACACTTAAATATGTTTTAATGCTTGTTAATATATTATATTATAATTCTTCTATTTTTTTTTTAATTCGTGTTCCATGCTTTAAAATGTGAGATGTTTATAAATTAATAGATTTTAATTTTAATCTCTCTAAAATTTAAATTTATATGTGTGTCTCGTCTCTTTTAAAAATAAACAATTTTAGTCATAAAATTTGTTTGAAAGAGTTTATGAACAGTTTTTTAAAATAATTTAACACTCTTATGAGCTCTTTTTAATTTATTTTAATAAATTTTTGAATATAACTTGTTAAATAATTAATTTTCAGATTATTTTAATATATTTTATTATTATAAATCTATGACAAAATATTATTTACAAATAATTTATTAAATAAATATTTTAATAAACTATTTATTTAAATGCATCCTTAGTCATTTTAACAAAATTCTAACATGTCAAATCGATAATAAATTCTTAATTCACAGTTTTTTTTTTGTTATATGAGAGAAATAAGAAAATAAAAAATAAAAGTCAATTACAAACACAAAAAAAAAAAAAAAAAAACTACTCTAATGTCTAATAAACCTTAATTGCAAGATGTCAATTTTCAACAACACTTGCAATTATAGTGAAAATTGATTAACAAATGTAAAATCATTCTCTAAAGTTGATCCTATCTTAACAAAAGCATCAACATAATTATTTTTCTCTCAAACAATATGATGCACTGAGCACCTTCAATTCTTTTTCAAAAGACTCTTAATATGAGATATCTCATTTGCATATTAAAGTACTCACTCTTAAATTAAAAAAATTAAAATTTTAAACACAAAATTACTCATATTCAATATTTTTTTAAAAAAAAAATATACCTTTCCTATCTCATATCAGATTCATTATGTGAAAAGTGAATAAAAAGTTATTATTTTATTCTCAAAACTACTAAGCATTTTTATTATTTATTTTTATTCTATATTTATATAAACACTAATCTAAATATATTTTATTAAATTTATTTATATTTAAAAATTAAATTGTTTTGATTTAACAATTACCATTTAGACTAAATTATTATTTATAATAAAATTTAAGAATTTTAACTAATTTTTCTTATGTATTATATATTTGACTTTTTATTTGTTAAGTATTATACTTTAAATAAAAGTATAGCTACTAAAAAATTTATATATTAATTTTAGACTATATTCGTACTTTAATTAATAAATTTTATTTATTCATAAAATTAAAGTTGCGTTCATTGAAAATTTAAAAAAGGACAAAATTTTAAACGATTGATCAATTTTAAAATAAAAAATATTACTTCAAATTGATTCAGTTTTGGAAATTTACAAGGAATATAATAGTAGTGCAAAGAAGAAAAATTATGTA